CTGAGAGGAGGGGACAGGGAGCTGGTGAGTGTGATTTCTCTCATGGCTTCCTCTGAGGACTCTGCTTTTCCTGGTTGCCTCCTCGGGCTCTGCAGCCTTATTTCCCTTCCTCTCAAGCCCCAGACCCCCTAGGCCAGGGCTGAAACAGCCAGAGGAGAAAGCAGGCACCTCTGCCAGTGGTGGTGGGGGAAGGGGGTCTGCCCGGGTGGATAGGGAGCTGGCTTGGGGTTGTGTATCACCAGGAGGCAGCTGCTGAGCCAGCCATCCCCACTCAGCTCTTGTCCCTGTGCAGCTGCTGTAATCCTAACCGTGGAGTCTGAGGAGGAGGAAGACAGCGACAGTTCGGAGACAGAGAAGGAGGACGATGAGGGGATCATCTTTGTGGCTCGGGCCACCAGTGAGGTTCTCCAGGAGGGCAAGGTCTCAGGTAATGGCTTTCTCCCTGCCTCCCACCCACTCTGCAGCATGCTGGAGCTGTGCAGTTGGCTTCCTCCCTCTTTGCTCATGGTCTCCAGACACCTACCTTTTCTATTCATTTGTTTCTTCACCAACCAGCATTTGCTGAGCAGCTCCTTTATATCAGGCACCCGACATACCTGATCTGATACAACCCTCACAATAACCAGGATAGTGAAACTGAGCTCATAGAGCCGAGGGAACTTGGCACGTGTCCAGCATCCCACAGCATAACCAGAATTTGAACCTTGCCTATCTGACTCCAAAACCTTTTTTGCACTGCTTTGCTGCCTTCCTTTACAGTCTGGTGAGGAACATGAGGTGACAAGCAAACCTAACACCGGGCTCTATTGCAACCCATGCTCCACACACCTACCCTCAGGTAGAGCCCCCGGTGAGGGTGGCAGCCTGACCTGGGGGAGGAACCTGGATTCATCAAAATGGGATTAGTGTGGATAAAAAACTATGTATTTCCATATGTGGAGACTTAATTCATTCATAGTGCTAAATATCACTGCTAGTTGGTGGTGGCACCCTCAGGTACCTTTTAAAAATGTTTTATTGTAGAAATTTTCAAAATATACACTAGACAGATAATAAAATAAATTCCCATTTGTCCATTACCCAGATTCAGTAATCACCTACTATCTCATCTCTACCTTCACCTATGCCCCTCTCTTCACTGGGTTCTTTTGCAGCAAATCTCAAATATCATATCACTTTATCAATAATCAGCATGTATTTCTTTCTTTTTTTGAATTTTGACAGATAATTACTCAATTATTTCTTTTTTTTATTAAGGAATCATTGATATACACTCTTATGAAGGTTTCAGATGAAAAAATTGTGGTTACTACATTCACCCATATTATCAAGATCCCTCCCATACCCTATTGCAGTTACTGTCCATCAGTGTAGTAAGATGCTACAGAGTCACTACTTGTCTTCTCTGTGCTACACTGTCTTCCCCATGATTCTCCCCACACCATGTGTATAATACCCCTTAATCCCCATCTCCCTCCCTCCCCGACCTTTAGTAACCACTAGTCCTATCTTAGAGTCTGCTAGTCAATCAGCATGTATTTCTTAAAGATATGGATTCTTCTTTAAAAATATAACCACAATACCATTATCATATCTAAATTCTTTGTCATCAAATACACAGTGTTCTAACTTCCCTAGTTGTCTTATTATTTTTTTACACAGCTTTGTTCAAATTAAAATCCAGACCAGGCCCATACATGGCATTTAGTTGATAAGCCTTTTTAATCAATAGCCGTGGTTCTCAAGGGAGTGGTGCAGTGATTTTGTCCCCCGGGAATATTTGGCAATGTCTGGAGATATTTTTGGTTGCCACACTGGAGAGGTGTACTGGCATTGAACGGGTGGAGGCCAGGGATGCTGCTGACCATCCTACCAGTGCACGACAGCCCCCCACAGCAAAGGATCTGTGTCAATGGTATCAGGTTTGAAAAACTCTTGTTTATGAGATCCCTCCCACATACTTTTGTTAAATCTTGTATTTGTTGAAATAATCTGGTTATCTGTCCCATAATCTTTTTTGTGTGGATTTTGCTGTTTGCAGCCTCACAGCATCATTCACTATGTCTCACCATCCCTTATATATTTCCTTTAAACCAGTAATTAAATCTAGATCCAATTTCAGTGCTAATTTAGGTAAATACTTCATAGGTGGTGGGGGTATGCTTCCTGTTACATCACATCGGGAAACACTGCTATCTGGTTGTCTTTCTGTGTGTGGGGCTAATACTGATCACTGGGTTCAGCTGTTGTTAGCTGAGCCATCATCAAGTTCGCCATCAGCATTTCATCAAATGGTGTTAGCAGCCACTGACGATCGTTGCCAGTCAAGGTGTCATTAGGGGTTGCACAATGGTGATATTCTACATCTATTTTTTTGTCTGCATTTATTAGCAGGAATTCTGTATAGTAAAAAAAAAAAACTCATCAATTAGTTACTTGGAGGTACAGTTTGTACAGGAAGGGACGGATAAATGCTTGATTTTTTCCCTTTTATTTATCAGTTTTCAGACCAGTGAGTTGACTAGCATCATCCAAAGGTAAACCCTGAAGTTTTTTGTGGTTTTAGTTTTATTCTTGTTGTTAAAATATATTACTCCATGTCTTTCAAGAGAGGTAGTTTCACTTTCAATCACAGCATCAGTACATTTCACGATGTACTCAGTCAACTTTAATGGACTGCTCAGGACGTCATCAAAGAGCAGCTAATGGACTGAGCAGCTGTATTATACGGAAGGCATTGGGCTTGACTTTGGAGAGCAGGGGTGGCAGGGCTTCTTTTTCTGAACCTCAGACTTCTGTGCTGCAGTGGCTGAGTGTTCCATCCTGGCTGCCAGCAGTTCGGGGATTCTCGGCTCATGTCCTTTGGGCTCTGGCCTCCTCTCTGCGGCCAAGTGTCAGCCTGCTATTAGGCTTGCATGAGGTCACATTCCTGGACTCTGTCCCACCAGAGGCTGTGGTGGGTGCTCAAGAAGGATGCCCGGCAGCAAAGCCATTGGCGCAGAGCCTTGGTATCTTCCCCATCCTCACTGCTGTCCCACCCAGGGCCGGGGCATGGCAGGATGTGGTTTCTGAGACCGGTGCTCTTAAGTGGGGTGAGGGCTAATGGCACATGGGACTTTTTTCCTGTCTAGCTCCTGTTTTCTCTTGCTTTAGTTATTTTCATTTGTTCATTAGGAATTTGATGAGCAAATACTATGTGCCCAGCCCTGTGCTGGGTGCTGATGATCCAATGGAAAGCAAAACCAGCTTGCTGAGGTGCTTCCCCTCAGCAAGGCATTCATCAAATTATAGCATAAAATGGATGTAACATGGCAACTGTAGAACAGATTTTTTTATGAAAATGTGCTTATACTTGGGAAGGATTCCACTGTGTCACTAATGAGCATGTGTGTACTATCTGTCCCCAGGGAGCCTCGAGGTGTGCCCGAGCCCACGTATCATCCCCCCCTCCCCAACCTGTGCAGAGAAGGAACTACCCTGGAAGAGCGGACAGGGGGACCTGGCAGTCTACGTGTCCTCAGAAACCACCAAGATTGTGCCCGTGGACATGCAGACGGGCTGGAACCAGAGCATCTCATCCCTAGAGAGCCTGGCATCCCCACCCTGTATGCAGGCGCCAACTATGACCCACCTGCCTCCTCACCCACTGGCTGCTGAAGAGCCCCAGGCCCCTCTTGACTTGCCTTCTGACCCACGCCCTAGCTTCGCTTTTCCCCCAAGCCTGGCCAAGGCTGGCCGCTCACGCAGTGAGAGCAGTGCTGACATCCCCCGGCAGCCAGAGCTGCAGCCTCTCATGGAACATGAGGACCACACCCATCTTAGTCCAGGCACAGCCAATTCCTACTGGTGCATCCAGTTCAATAGAGGTGGCCGGCTATAGCTTAGGAACTCAAGGAGCAGGAGGCCAAAGCCCCCATGGGGAGTGTTCCCTGGGAAGTGGGCAGAGGGGCCCGCTCAACCTGACATGGGGCCAGAGGGGCCCAGACTGAAGAAGCAACTGGGCTTCCTTGGGATGGGTCAGAAGGGTATCCTGGGCTGGTCCTCTCAAGGACCCCTTTCACCACCCTCCCTGCTCCTAACTCCTAACATCTTCCCTTCTAGTACGGCCCTTACTTTGTCTCAAGATGCAGTCCAAGGCTCCTAGGGGCTAGGCCCAGAGACTGGAAGCTGAGTCTCTTTCTCCAATGGGTCCTCCTGGGTCACTCTAGGCAGCTGTTCATGCCCCCAAAGCAAGGGCATCAGTCCTCAGCTGACACTGGCCTTTCTGGCTCTCCACCCCTACCTCTAACACCAGTTCAATAACAGTGTCCTGGCAAAAGGGCTCTTCAAGGGGCTGGTCCTCAGAGGGACTGGGGTGGGAAGTGGAACAGGCTTCAACTTTGGGCTTTGCTACCCTGTTGGAAAAATATCTATTGGCAAAATATCTATTGCCAATATTTTTTAGGTAAGTAGGAATCTGTGTCCGATATTGCTTTATCTCCTTTCCTTTGCTGCCAGTTACTGGGGGCCATAGTTCCTCCTTTCCCAGGATCAAGGCCACAGGGCTGGGCCAGGCTTCAGATCAGGACTGTTTCCTAGCTTGGATCATTTGGGGGATCTGATACTCCACATCCAAGTTTGGATCTTTCAGATCCTTGGGTCTGGGTTTTCAGAGGAGGTGATACGGTGGCTTTTGGGCTCCCACATTACCATCTTGACATTTCCCAAACAGGAAAGGAGCCAGGCATCCCTGGGCCACTGCTCCACTGCTCTGGGGACTGGGATGCCTGGCTGCAGTGCTAAAGAGGCTGACTGGGTGGCAGATGACTTTCTTGGGGTTAGCACCTGCCCTGTGATTTGTATCTTAAACCTAAGATACATTAAACTTCTCTCGGATGGATGGTTGTCCTGTGTCCATGTGCCTGGGGGTTTGGGGCAGGGGGTTGGCAATAGGTGTATCTGATGAGGGAAGTGGAAACTTCCAATCGTCTGCCCCAGGGCTTCTGGGATAGAGGATGAAGGGGAGATCCTGGGAAAGACTGTTAGGCCCTCTAGCCCTCCCTTCCTCCCTCATACCAACCCAATACTGTCCCTTTAGGATAGGGCCTGTGTTGGCAGTCCAGAGTATCACTACACGGGCACTGGATAACAGAACTAGAAATCCACAAAATGGAGAGGGCCAGAAAGGAAAGAGACCCATGAGGTCGGGTGCAAAGATGCAGCCATCACCACTGGGACCAGATAAACCTTTGAAAACCTGGAGGCAGGCATAGGACAAATGAACAGAGATGTTCTACACATGGCAGGTGGGAGGGCAATCTCAAGGGAGCTGGTTACCCTGAGTGTTTACAATACAGATTGGATAGTGTGGGGTCCAGAAACATCTAGGGACAGAAATGTCTAGATAGCAGCAGTCCTAGATTAAATTCCCACTGTGTCTGAAGGACTTTATTTAAAAAATCTATCTTTATTGAGATGTAATGCATATACCATAAAATTCACCCATTTAAAATGTGTAGTTCAGTGGCTTTTAATATAATCACACAGTTGTATAACCCTCATGACAATCTAAGTTAAAAACATTTGTATAATGCCCATTAGCTGTCACTGCATCCCCTGCCCTGCCCAGCCCTAAACCTACTTTCTGTCTCTAGATCTGAAGGTCTCTTGGCACTGCAAAGGTTACAAATTTAGTCAATGTTTATTTTTTCTTTGTTATTCATGGGAAAATGTGAAGACAGGGAAGAGCGCCTTAGGCTTTGCCCTCACGTTTTTACAGTTGTCAGGGATAAGGCCTGTGGTTAATAGTTCCAGCTGTCACTTAACAGCTATGTCAGCTTAGGCATGTTACATACTCTCTGAGCCTCATCTCATCTCTAAAATGGGGTAACAATTGTATTTATCTCATAAGATTGCTCTCAGGATTAAATGACAAAATGAGAAGAATCTAGTGAACAGCCTGGCCCACAGAAAAGGATCATAAATGTTTGTCATTATTGTTCTTATGCTATATGGCAAAGAACACAGAAGGTGCTTTGGGGCCTGAGGAGATCTGGGAAGGCTTTAGGAGGAGTATGTGTGTGTGTGTGTGAGAGAGAGAGAGGGGTGCTCAGACAACACAGGCAAAGTTGGGTGGGTGCATTCCAGGTAGAAAGTGCAGCATAAACAATAAACAAGGGGTGCCAAGAATACATGTGACAGAAAGCAAGGAGCGGTGGATGATGTGCTTGGGAGAGACCAGCCAAGGGAGCCCAGCAGATGGGGAAGAAAGCAGATGGCCACAGCTGGGGAAGAGGCAGGCATCTGGGATGCAGGAGAGTGAACAAGTTAAGAGCTTGTCCATGGGTCAGCACCTGATTGGGTAGAATGGCAGAAATGGCCTTCCTGAGCTGCATTCAGGGCTGGAAGGAGGAAGGAATCTGACCAGGACAGATGGGCGTGGGCATTCCAGGTGGAGGAGCCAGTTTGAGACTAGACTTGTAATCAGGTGATTTGTACAGGCCAGTACAGGCCAGTACAGGAAGGCTGTGATGCATCTGGATGGCCTTGAATGCCACATTAAGGACTTTGCAACTTATTGAGGTGAGAGAAGTCTGGAAAGTTTGGGGCATTTGTCACCCTTACTGTCTGAGCAGTACTGCAGAGGGTATGCAAGGTTTAGGATGGAGTGAGGGCAATGACTATGGGTCTCATCACTAGGGCCACTGAGGCACAGAGCCCCAATTTTATTTTTAATTGATTCATGTTGGTAAAGAATGGGAAGCTGAGGGAAGGCTGGGAAAGGGGCAGGGGAATGAGGACCACCCCCACTGTATGATCTCAGTGGAAAAGGCTGCTGTGAGTAGATTTTGCTGCCAGAAGAGCCACAGAGATGGGCCCCATGAGTCACTGCTCAGTCCTGCAAGCTCAGCCCACAGAACTTGCTGCGGTCAGAGGTCCAGGCTGGCTCCAGGCCCAGCCCCAGTGCTCCCCACTAAGGCCTCAATCTGTCCCCGTTTCTGTCTGTATCTTTGCCATCCTGGGACTGTTCATCCTGCCGTTCTCCCCCTCTGTGTCACTTTCAAACTGTGCCTCTGAATCTGTCTCCATTTGTGGCTCTGGCTTGCATCTGCTCATGGATATAGAGCCTCTGGTAGGCAGACATAGTAGACCAGTCTTGGATACCCCTAAGCATTTATTGTGTGTCAGGTCCTGTGCTGGGTGCTAGAAGTACAGAAGTGGACAACACACAGTCTTTATTTTCATGGAGCTTACAATGCACATTCTACATGGAGTGAATAAACCAAGGCATGGCCCTGCCCCTGAATTTGTCTGTCTGCCTGTGCTCAAGAGTGCTGGTGTCAGCTATGGCCTGTGGCTTGAAGCCTTTTATTTGCCTCTGGCACTGGAGGGTTATATGTGCCACCAGGTCCCCTCAGCTCTTAGTGCTCCTGGGGGGCCTGGTTAGTGGGTGGGTGTGGGCAGCAGAAGTGGAGGGCAGGAGCAGGAGGCAGTGACTCAGTGGGGCGGCCCTGGGACAGTTAGGGAGGGAGCCAAGGCTGGCTGGTCCCGATGCTCACTGAAGCTGGAGGACGGTGTGGGTTGGGGATGATCAGGACAACTCCAGTGCTCCTCCCTGGCAGCCAGAAGAGCTCATGAATGCTCCTTGGTAACTAGTCTGAGAGTCTGGACTCGGGTGCTGATGTGGCAGCTGGGGTGGGGGATTAGGGGGAGGATGGCTTTTGTTTCCACTGTGCCTGCTTCCGATGATGCCTAGGTTCCTGCCTCTGGCAGCCTCCCTGGGCTCATGATGGAGGTGCCTGCCTTAGAGCCAGGGAAGCCATTACACCCACTGCCCCCTCCACCCAGGAACGAAGGGCTTAAGCATGTTGTGGGGCACAGCGCCTTATTTGGGCCACATAGTCTATCTTCTTACAATCTTCCTATGAATTTTGGGGAGTGTCAGGCCAGGCTCACATTCCCCAAATGGACCTCATACCTGAGAGCTGGAAGGGAGCTCACAGGTCAACTATTCACCAGTTCAGGATCCCGATTGCTGGTGAAATGAGGTCTACACATGGCAGGTGGGAGGGCAATCTCAAGGGAGCTGGTTACCCTGAGTGTTTACAATACAGATTGGATAGTGTGGGGTCCAGAAACATCTAGGGACAGAAATCTCTAGATAGCAGCAGTCCTAGATTAAATTCCCACTGTGTCTGAAGGACTTTATTTAAAAAATCTATCTTTATTGAGATGTAATGCATATACCATAAAATTCACCCATTTAAAATGTGTAGTTCAGTGGCTTTTAATATAATCACACAGTTGTATAACCCTCATGACAATCTAAGTTAAAAACATTTGTATAATGCCCATTAGCTGTCACTGCATCCCCTGCCCTGCCCAGCCCTAAACCTACTTTCTGTCTCTAGATCTGAAGGTCTCTTGGCACTGCAAAGGTTACAAATTTAGTCAATGTTTATTTTTTCTTTGTTATTCATGGGAAAATGTGAAGACAGGGAAGAGCGCCTTAGGCTTTGCCCTCACGTTTTTACAGTTGTCAGGGATAAGGCCTGTGGTTAATAGTTCCAGCTGTCACTTAACAGCTATGTCAGCTTAGGCATGTTACATACTCTCTGAGCCTCATCTCATCTCTAAAATGGGGTAACAATTGTATTTATCTCATAAGATTGCTCTCAGGATTAAATGACAAAATGAGAAGAATCTAGTGAACAGCCTGGCCCACAGAAAAGGATCATAAATGTTTGTCATTATTGTTCTTATGCTATATGGCAAAGAACACAGAAGGTGCTTTGGGGCCTGAGGAGATCTGGGAAGGCTTTAGGAGGAGTATGTGTGTGTGTGTGTGAGAGAGAGAGAGGGGTGCTCAGACAACACAGGCAAAGTTGGGTGGGTGCATTCCAGGTAGAAAGTGCAGCATAAACAATAAACAAGGGGTGCCAAGAATACATGTGACAGAAAGCAAGGAGCGGTGGATGATGTGCTTGGGAGAGACCAGCCAAGGGAGCCCAGCAGATGGGGAAGAAAGCAGATGGCCACAGCTGGGGAAGAGGCAGGCATCTGGGATGCAGGAGAGTGAACAAGTTAAGAGCTTGTCCATGGGTCAGCACCTGATTGGGTAGAATGGCAGAAATGGCCTTCCTGAGCTGCATTCAGGGCTGAAGGAGGAAGGAATCTGACCAGGACAGATGGGCGTGGGCATTCCAGGTGGAGGAGCCAGTTTGAGACTAGACTTGTAATCAGGTGATTTGTACAGGCCAGTACAGGCCAGTACAGGAAGGCTGTGATGCATCTGGATGGCCTTGAATGCCACATTAAGGACTTTGCAGCTTATTGAGGTGAGAGAAGTCTGGAAAGTTTGGGGCATTTGTCACCCTTACTGTCTGAGCAGTACTGCAGAGGGTATGCAAGGTTTAGGATGGAGTGAGGGCAATGACTATGGGTCTCATCACTAGGGCCACTGAGGCACAGAGCCCCAATTTTATTTTTAATTGATTCATGTTGGTAAAGAATGGGAAGCTGAGGGAAGGCTGGGAAAGGGGCAGGGGAATGAGGACCACCCCCACTGTATGATCTCAGTGGAAAAGGCTGCTGTGAGTAGATTTTGCTGCCAGAAGAGCCACAGAGATGGGCCCCATGAGTCACTGCTCAGTCCTGCAAGCTCAGCCCACAGAACTTGCTGCGGTCAGAGGTCCAGGCTGGCTCCAGGCCCAGCCCCAGTGCTCCCCACTAAGGCCTCAATCTGTCCCCGTTTCTGTCTGTATCTTTGCCATCCTGGGACTGTTCATCCTGCCGTTCTCCCCCTCTGTGTCACTTTCAAACTGTGCCTCTGAATCTGTCTCCATTTGTGGCTCTGGCTTGCATCTGCTCATGGATATAGAGCCTCTGGTAGGCAGACATAGTAGACCAGTCTTGGATACCCCTAAGCATTTATTGTGTGTCAGGTCCTGTGCTGGGTGCTAGAAGTACAGAAGTGGACAACACACAGTCTTTATTTTCATGGAGCTTACAATGCACATTCTACATGGAGTGAATAAACCAAGGCATGGCCCTGCCCCTGAATTTGTCTGTCTGCCTGTGCTCAAGAGTGCTGGTGTCAGCTATGGCCTGTGGCTTGAAGCCTTTTATTTGCCTCTGGCACTGGAGGGTTATATGTGCCACCAGGTCCCCTCAGCTCTTAGTGCTCCTGGGGGGCCTGGTTAGTGGGTGGGTGTGGGCAGCAGAAGTGGAGGGCAGGAGCAGGAGGCAGTGACTCAGTGGGGCGGCCCTGGGACAGTTAGGGAGGGAGCCAAGGCTGGCTGGTCCCGATGCTCACTGAAGCTGGAGGACGGTGTGGGTTGGGGATGATCAGGACAACTCCAGTGCTCCTCCCTGGCAGCCAGAAGAGCTCATGAATGCTCCTTGGTAACTAGTCTGAGAGTCTGGACTCGGGTGCTGATGTGGCAGCTGGGGTGGGGGATTAGGGGGAGGATGGCTTTTGTTTCCACTGTGCCTGCTTCCGATGATGCCTAGGTTCCTGCCTCTGGCAGCCTCCCTGGGCTCATGATGGAGGTGCCTGCCTTAGAGCCAGGGAAGCCATTACACCCACTGCCCCCTCCACCCAGGAACGAAGGGCTTAAGCATGTTGTGGGGCACAGCGCCTTATTTGGGCCACATAGTCTATCTTCTTACAATCTTCCTATGAATTTTGGGGAGTGTCAGGCCAGGCTCACATTCCCCAAATGGACCTCATACCTGAGAGCTGGAAGGGAGCTCACAGGTCAACTATTCACCAGTTCAGGATCCCGATTGCTGGTGAAATGAGGGGCAGGGTACAAACCCAGCCCAAGTGCGGACAACAAGTGGACATTTGACATAGGGGGTCCTAGTCCTTATGGCAATCCCAGGAGAAAGGAATGACTTTTTGTTGTTGTTGTTGTTACAGGTGAGGAAGGTGAGGCTCAAAGAGAACTGAGTTACTGGAGCTCATCCAGCCGGTAAGTGGAGGAACAAGCCTGGGTTAATGTCTCTGGCTCCACGACCCCAGCCTGAGTCCCAGCTTCCTTGGCTGGACCTTGTGCGCAGTTGATGCTGGGGTGGGGGTGGAGTGTGGGGTGTGTTGGGAGCGGGGAGATGTACGTGAAAGTGCCAGGAATGCTAAGTATTGAGGGTCTGGGCCTGTTGGATTGGTGGATTCTGGCAGGCCTAGGACAGCTCCCACTCCAAAGGCCTCCCATCCCCTTCCCGCCCTCCCTTCCCAGTCCTCCATGCCCTCAGGGGATCATACAACTTCTCCTGGGGCCTGGGCCTTGGACTGAAAGGAAGATGGGGCCTGCCTGCAATGGAGAAGCCCTCCTTGAACATACCCCTACGGCTTCCAGCAGCCGCAAGTAGCTGGTCTGGGCTTATGGAGTCTCTCTTTCCGGGGGTTTCCCGGACCCTGGGCCCAGACTTTCCTTCTCCCCGCTGACGGGAATGGCTGCTCCCTGTTTGGCTGAGGGAGGCTGGGGCAGGCCTCCCCCTATACGGCATTCGTCCAAGAGCAGATGCCCCCGCAAGCCCCTCTGCCCCAACTTCTAGGCCGACTCACACGCTCACGCACCTTCGGGCACCTACACAGCCTTCCCCAGCGGGGGCTGCTCCGGCGCCCTCGGGCAGGCCCAGGGAGTAGGCACGCTGGGCGGGCAGTTGGTGGCTGCCCCGCAGTCTGAGAAGCCGAGTCAGTTAGCAAGTCCTGGGGTGGGGGTGGAGCCGAGCCTTCCGGCCCGGTGCTGGGGGTGAAGGAGGGCGGAGGCGGGGCCAGCGCATAGGGGGCTTCAGCCCGCGCCTTCGTGCTTTAGGACCGCCTTAGGAGGTTGCTGTCGGACCGGCTGAAGGGCTGTGGTTCTATCCTGCGGCGCCCAGGGGGCGGAGCGGCGACGCGTCCTTGGTCTCCCTGCTTTCCCACCCCGTGGTCGGGGGCGGTGCGCTGTACCCGCCGTCGAGGCAGCGGCGTGGTAAATCCGAGAACTGCAGCGGCCCCAGGGCCTCGTGGTAACCCGCCACGGGCCGGCGGGTGGGCGAGGGGGAGCGACCGAGGCCCGGGGCGAAGCCAGGGCCCTGCTGGGTCGGGTGAGGCCAAGCACAGGGCAGCGCTGTGCTTCTGCCGAGACGGTACCATCAGCAGGGCCGACCAAACATGGCGGTGAGTGCGCGTCTGGGCGTGGGGCCCAGCCAGCGAGGGCCTGCATGAGCGCGAACTGCGGGGCCTGCTTAGAAAGGAGACCCTTCCCTGTTCCCCCTTCTCAGGTCTGAACAGCGGCAGCATTTGCACTTCCAATACCCCGGCACCAAGACGGGCACCTCCTACGGCTTAGTACCTTCTGCCTGCGTTATCCTCCGAACCCTGTTCTCTCCGACTATCTTCAACCCATTTCCTGGATGAGCTGAGGCCTCAGTTTATCACGTGGGCCTAGCCCTTCTCCCACTTGACCCCAACCGGCCCACCCTTAAGGAGGGGGCTAATGGAAGGGCCCCTGGAGGATGGGGGTGAATCCCCAGACTCCCAGGGCCACGCCACCGACTGGAGATGTGCTGTGTGTAGTTTCACGGACGCTTGGGGTGAAGAAGAACCTGCTCCCCAGATGCAGGTTAAGGACCCCAATCCTCCAAGACCACCAGCAGGGGCAGCCCAGGGGGAAAGGCTGCAGGGCAGGCCCCTGCATGCAGAGCTTCAGTCACCCCCAGGACAAATGGCTGCAGATAGGTCAGGGGATGGCCAGAGGGGCACATTAGAAGATTCCTCAGTCCAGTCAGAGGAACCAGCCCCCTCTGGAGAGGAGAGCATCCTATGTCCAATGTCCTCCCACCTCAGCCTGGCACAGGGCAAGAATGACAGCCTAGGGGGAGGCTTGGCAGGGGACCCAGTTCTAGTAAGGGCAGTGCCAGCCCACTTAGGTCCTGGGGGGTTGGACAGCAACCCTGTGGATCTTGAAGACCCTTTGTCTGAGACATCGTCAGAGCTGCTGGAGGCAGGTAAGGGAGGCTAGGCCAGGGAGGTCTTGGAAGGGGAGAGGGATTGCCTGGAGGTGGGTGCCAAGACTTGGGGAGGGCTCTGACTCTACTTGGGCTGAAGCCTAGGCCCAAGGAGGGCTCTCTGGGTAAGAGGCCCAACACAGACCCAAGCCATTTTCCTTCCCAAGACCCCAGCGAATGCAACGTCCCTAAGGCCACTGACTACCTCCTGGCCCAAGACCTCGCCTGGGAGCTACTGGCCAGTAGCATGGCTGCCCTGCCAGGTAGCTGGGACAGATTAGAGGCTGTTGAGGTGGGGTGAGTTGATTGGGCAGGTGTTCACTGGCTTTTCCCCACAGGGACACGGGATGTGGAAGGCCGGGCAGTGCTCCTTCTGTGTGCCCATAGCCCTGCATGGCTTCACCCCAAGTGCAGAAGCCGTGAACTCATCCTCCTCCTCCTCTACCTTCGGAGCATCCCCAGGTTGGGGGGAGGAGGTTGGAGAATGGAGCCTGAGCCCGAAAAGGCAGGGTTGGGGAATTAGATACTGAATTGAAGCCTGCCCTCTAGGCCCGAAGTACAGGCTCTGGGACTGACTGTGCTAGTGGATGCCCGAATTTGTTCCCCAAGCTCTTTCCTTTTCTGGGGGCTCAGCCAGTTGCAAGTGAGTACAGGGCTGTAGCTTTCTCTGCCTCCAATATTCCTTTGTATGTAGGCTTGGGGATAGGGCTAAACTCATATTCCTTGCAGGAAACTGCCCCAGGGTCAATACACCAGGTGTTGCTACTGGGAAGGATGCCAGAGGAGGTGCCTCCAGGGCTGCAGGTACTGAGCCATTTTGGCCAGGGGGTGGGTGTGGGGTGCTTCCCCACAAGGCCCGAGTTACTACACCTTTTTCTGCAGCTAGAACACCTGCCCTCTCATCAGAGCCTGCTGACCCACATCTCCACCTCAGTCTTGCCCACTTCAATGGGAGGTGGCCTGCCTTACTGCCACCAGGCCTGGCTGGACTTCCGGATGGTCAGTGCACTGGGTGGGGCATAGGGTGGGTAGACATAAGGTGGGCTGGCTTCAACAATACCAAGATGACTGCAGTGACCTGGGATCCAAGGTGACTGGGACCAGCACTGTGCTCTGTCATGCCTGCCCCTTCTAATAGCGTCTGGAAGCCCTACTGCATAGCTGCCAGCTGGTTTGTGCCCAGCTCCAGGGGGCCATTGAGAGCATGAAGGCTGTGCCCCAGCCCATGGAGTCTGGGGTGAGTATCCCCTCCCAGCACTTCCCCAAATGTTCCCTGTCTCCCTCCTTTTCTTTGCCCACTTCCACTGCCTTTTTCCCTTAATCACAGGAAGTGAGTCAGCTGCTACAGCAGGCACGGGTGTTGATGCAGCATGTGCTAGACTCGCCACAACTGGCATGGCTGCAATGCCAGGGTGGGTTGGAGCTGGCATGGCTGAAGCAAGAGGTCCCAGAAGTGACCCTGAGCCCAGACTACAGGTAGGTGGAAGCCCAAGTTCCAGATCTGTCCCATATATCCCACAATATCCCATATCAAGGACTCAGCTGGGTGGCTCAGAACTACCCAGGATTGTGGTCCCAGGACAAGGTGGAGTGGAGCAAGATAACTGGCAGGGCCCCTAAGAGCATGTATCCTGCACCAGGCCGGCGGTGGACAAGGTCGATGAGCTGTATGGCCATGTGGATGGACTGCTGCACCAACTGACCTTGCAGAGTAACCGGCGAGTACAGGCACTGGAATTGGTCCAGATGCTGGAGGCCCAGGAGGGCGAGCTGCACCAGGTGGGAGCTGTCTGCCCTGAGGGCCTTGTCCCTGATCTGAAGCATGACCCCCACCCCACAACAGCTCCCTTTTCCCTGCTTGTGCCACCCCAGATTGAAGTGTGGCTGCAGCAGGTTGGCTGGCCAGCACTCAAGGAGCCAAGGGAGCCTTCACTGGACATGCTGCTTCAGGCCCAAAGCTCTTTTCAGGAGGTGGATCAGGTTGCCCAGGTGGTTTAGTTACATATTCCTATATATTAGGTCACTTTGCCAGGGAAGAGGAATGCAGGGTGGGTAAAAGTTAGTCTATCATTTTCTTGCTTGTAATTTACAGTCCAACAGAGAATATCAGTTGTAATCAAAGGTTCAAAGTCATATATGTGTGTTTGCAAACTGAGGCAAAAGGTCTGGAGTGAAATAGTGCAGGTGGTTCTGAGTGTATAATAAAGACCTGACCCAGAAGGGGTGTTGGGCAAGCTTTCTTGAGATAGTGACTTTTGAGCTGAGAGCTAAAGAAGAGATCAAGGTTAACCAGGCTGAAGAGAGTTGGGGATAAGAGACATTCCAGGTTGAGGGAGCAAAAGCATGTGCAAAAGTCCTATGGCAGGAAGGAGCACTGTTTGCCTGAGGAACCGTAAGAAGGACAGTGAGGTTGAAATACAGAGCAGAAAAGGGAGGGAGAGTGGGTAAGATGAGGTAAAATGAGACTGAAAAAGTGGTCAGTGGCCAAGATTGCTGGGTCCCGTAGCAGTGTAAAATCAAAGCAAGGAAGTTGCATAATCAGATCTGTGTTCTAGGAAGATTACCCCAGGTTCTGAGTAGATAGTGACTTGGAGGATGGACATTGAAGAGGCAATTGCAGTGGTTCATGTGGAAATGCTGCTTGCTCTGGCCAGGGTGGTGGACTTGAGAAACTGGTGGGATTTGATGGTGGATGCATGAGAGGGTAAGAGGGAGAGGGAGGTTGCAAGGATGAATAGTACTGTTCCTGAGAGAGGGACCAGGAGACAAGGGCCCTCTGGGGGAAGGACATGCATCAATCCAGTCTTGGATGCACTTCAGAGATTACCAGGAAGGAATGAGATGAAGACCCTAGGGGATTGGGCCTAGAGCTCCAAGCAGAGATCCGGCTGTAGAGGGTCACTTGGTGGATTGGATGTGTGGATGACATTTGAAGCATGGTCACACAATATTGCCTAAGGAAAGAGAGTGGACTGTCTTAAGGAGCACCAGTGTTTAACAGCCTAGGTGAGGGATGGGAAGCAGGAGGATGGACCACCGGAGGACAAGGAGAATCAGGAGAGAGAGGGTTTGCTGCTGCTGAGTCAGATGATGCCTGAGAAGTGCCAGCCATGCTGGTGGAAGTGGGCTTGCAGCAGGCTGGTGAGGTGAAAAATGATGGTCATGAGGATAACACTTCCTCCAGGAAGTTTGGAGGTGGAGGGAAGGTCTTCAATCACACTAGAGGCCTGATACTGATTTGTAGGTATCTGTGGAAAGGACCTAGATTCAGGGCCTAGACCACCAGGCTCAGGCCTGCTGAGCCAAATCTTTGTCTCCAGGAGCAGGTCAGGCGAGGGGAGAAGTTTCTGCAGCCACTGGCTGGCTGGAAGGCAACTGAACTGGGCCCCACTGGGGCCCGCTTTCTGGCCCTCCAAGCCCAGCTGACTGACTTCTCTAGGGCCTTGGGCCAGTGGCGGCAGTGGCTGTCAGATGCTGAGAGGCTGTTGCAGTTATTCAAACAGGTGGGTGAGGGGCCCAGTCCTGCCTCCAGGCAGTCAGTAGAGCCAGAGGGGCGGCTGCCGGGCTCCACCACAGCCTGAGCTCTTCCTGGACAATCTGCCTGTTCTTTTTCTTTAGTCTGACCCCAAAATCCAACCACTGGGGATATAGCCTGAGGCGAACATCCTATGGGGATGAGGAGTAGAGAGAAGAGAAGGCTGGGTGGTCTTGGTGGGGTCTTCCTTCAGTGTCTATCTGGCCTTGGTGTTGCAGGCATCGACATGGGCTGAGGAGGGACAGCGGTTGTTGGCAGAGCTGGCACAGGAGCGCCCAGGGGTTGTGCTGCAGCGGCTGCAGCTTCATTGGACCAAGCACCCTGACTTGCCTCCTGCCCATTTCCGAAAAATGTGGGCTCTGGCTACAGGGCTGGGCTCTGAGGGTATCCGCCAGGAGTGCTGCTGGGCCTGGGCGCGGTGCCAGGACACCTGGCTGGCCCTGGACCAGAAGCTAGAGGCCACACTGAAGTTCCCACCGACAGGCAGCACAGGTAGCCTGTGTGTCAGCCGGGTTCCGACTGTAGCTGCCACTCCTCCCCTGAGGAAGGCATACAGCCTTGATCGGAACCTGGGGCAGAGTGTCCGAGTGTCTGCCCACCACTGCCACCTTGTGGCCAGACCAGAGGCTAGTGGTGGTGTCCAGCCAGGGTCTTCCCCCACCATGCATCCACCGGGCAACTCTGACTCCAGGAACCCCAACAGGTGCAGGCAGTGGGCAGGGTAGGGAGGGCAGTGGCAGGATCCATGTCTTGGGTCCTGACTCCATCCATCTGTTAGACTCCAGCTGGTGCTGGCAGAGATGGTGGCTACAGAGCGGGAGTATGTCCGTGCCCTCAACTATACCGTCCAGAACTACTTTCCTGAGCTGGATCGCCCCGATTTGCCCCAGGGCCTGCGCGGCCAGCGTGCCCACCTCTTTGGCAACCTGGAGAAGCTGCGGGACTTCCATTGCCACTTCTTCCTGCGTGAACTGGAGGCCTGCACCCGGCACCCGCCCCGGGTGGCCCATGCCTTCCTGCGCCACGTAAGCCCCACAGGCCACGCAGCCTCCTGCTGATTCTGCCACACTCATCAAAGAGCTCTCAGGCCCATGCTTGGTGCCAGGCCCTGTGCTGGCTATAGCTCTGAGCAAGACCAGCAAGGTCCTGTAGTTCAGTAGAAGACACATAAAAGCCATAATGGTAATTACAGATTATAGTTGGGGCTAGGAGGAAAATAATCAGGATAGATAGATGGTTGTGAGTTAGCTGTGGGGCAGGGCTACCCTCTTTAAAGAGAGCAATTATAAAGACCTCTTTGAGATGCTAATGTTGGGGCTGAGGCCAAAGGGAGGGGCTGGAGTCAGAGCATTCCATCCAGAGGAAATATCAAGTGTAAATCTCTGGGGTAGGAGAGAGGCCCAGTGGTCCAAGAAGAGGCAGGTTGAGGTGACTGAGTGTAGTAAGAGGAGTCCAAAGCGAGGTAGTTCTCAGAGCTGTGGGAGGAGCCGAGGCCCTGTGGGCAAGTCCCCCCTCGGCAATGTGCCTGTTCTTGCCAGTTTACTCCTTATTCAAAACAGGACAGACTGATCTGTAGGGAGGGGTCCCCCTGGGAGCCCTCTGTTGGCATTTTGGTTCTCTCAAGCTGAGTTTGCCCCAAGGGGGCTAGACTTTGGGATCTGGCCGCCTTGTACTCAGTCTGAGCAGTACGTCCTCACAGCGGGTGCAGTTTGGGATGTATGCACTCTACAGCAAGAATAAACCTCGCTCTGATGCCCTGATGACTAGCTTCGGTCATGCCTTCTTCAAGGTAGGTGAGCCTGAGAACGGTGGGGGAGGAGGAGATTGAGGGAGTACTCTGAAGCCCCCTGGTGGTCTGCCGCCTGCTTGGCAGGACAAGCAGCAAGCACTAGGGGACTACCTGGACTTGGCCTCCTACCTGCTGAAGCCCATCCAGCGCATGAGCAAGTATGCGCTGCTGCTGCAGGAGCTGGCACGGGCCTGCGGTGGGGGTGTGCAGGACCTGAGTGCCCTGCAGGCTGCCCAGAACCTTGTGCGGTTCCAGCTGCGACACGGCAATGACCTGCTAGCCATGGACGCCATCCAGGGTTGTGATGTGAGTCATCCCAGGCCACCATGGTCAGGTGCAGAGGGTGTGAAGGAATGGGGCAGGAGAGGCTGGGCGCCAACCAGTCCCCAACTTGGCAGGTTAACCTCAAGGAACAGGGGCAGCTGGTACGACAGGATGAATTCATAGTGCGCACTGGGCGCCACAAGTCCCTGCGCCGTGTTTTCCTCTTTGAGGAGCTGCTGCTCTTCAGCAAGCCTCGCCAAGGACCCACAGGCACCGAAACGTTTACCTACAAACGCTCCTTCAAAGTAGGCCCGTCCTGTCCCTTTTCCCCCATCCCTGCCCCCTACCCTTCCAATGTCTTACCAAGCTCTCCTCTGCCGGCCACACAGATGGCAGACCTGGGCCTCACTGAGTGCTGTGGGGATAGCAACCTGCGCTTTGAGATCTGGTTCCGTCGTCGCAATGCCAGGGACACCTTTGTGCTGCAGGCTGCCAGCTTGGCCACCAAGCAGGCTTGGACAGCTGACATTTCCCGTCTGCTCTGGAGGCAGGCTGTCCACAACAAGGGTAGGTCCCTGTTCCCCCTTCATCCCACTCTTCCCTTCCTGGAGAGCTTATATTCCCCAGGGGCCCAGGGAGGACCCAGGGACCTGGAAACACTTAGGAGAGCAGAGGAGATCCAGCAGCAGCAGCCAGTACAGGGGACAGAGCTTCTAAGTTGAGCAGTTCTTACTGTGGACACAGTATTAACCTCTTGTGAGTATCAGAGGCCTCATCTATAAAAGGGGAATAATGACACCTGCCCACAGGATTATTTGACGGCCCAGGTGAAGAGAGAGTCTGGCACCAGAAAGGCTCAGTGCACAGGACAGTTAATATGCTGGGTATGGGTGCACCCAAGAGCAAGGCGAGTGTCCAGAGTTGACCCACCTATGCCCACTTTCCACCCAGAGGTGCGCATGGCTGAAATGGTATCCATGGGTTTGGGGAACAAGGCCTTCCAGGATATCACCCCCAATGAGGAAGCTATCAACGACCGCACCATCAACTACATCCTGAAGTGCAGAGGTAGAGGCAGGCTGTATGGGGTGGGATGAGCAAGACCTCTGTTAGCCTGGCCTGTGCTCAGGAGGACCTTGTCCCAGTGGGCTCTGGCTTGTCCTAACCTGGTCCTCTCTCTCATGCAGAAATTCGCTCTCGGGCTTCCATTGCTGTGTCCCCGTTTGACCATGACAGCTCCTACACGGGCACCTCAAGCTCCCTTCCTGGAGACCCTGCCTCTTGCTCTGTGCTGGGGTCCCTCAACCTGCACCTGTACAGAGACCTGACTCTTCTGGGTCTCCCCCGGCCCCTGTATTCCACCTTCACAGAGGAAGTAGCACTAGAGGCTAAGGTGGAGCTGGACAGCCAGCTGTCTTTGAGTAGGTCTGGGCTTAGCCAGAGGCAGGAAGTTCATGGCCTAGGGCCTGGGCCTCCCCTGCTGACAACCTACCATCTCCCCACAGCTCCTGAGGACTCAGAGGTCTCATCTCAGTGCCCTTCAGCCAGTGGCTCCAGTGGCTCTGATAGCAGCTGTGTGTCAGGGCAGGCCCTGGGCAGGGGCCTCGAGGACTTGTCCTACGTGAGTGCCCTTTTGCCCTATAATCACCAGCCCCTCCGCAGCCCAGCCTGGGCCTATGGCTGCCTTTCCTTGGATGGAAATGGGGGTGGGTGGGCCAGAGCCATTCCTCAGAGACCTGACTTGGACCCTGTGGGGGGAAAATAAGTGTTTATGCCTAGTTTGGCATGCAGGTCTGAGCCTGGGCTCGAAGATGGGCAGTGGATCCAACAGCCTGTAGCTCCAAGAAACACCACCTCTCTTCGGATCTGCTGTGACCAAGGCAGGGCTGCCACCCAGGCCACCTTCTGTCCACAGGCACTGCCTTATTGACTACTCTTTTTGATGTCTGTGCCCATTGGCAGACTGGCAGGAGCCTCCTGGGCTCTTGGCTGCATGTCACCTTCTGTCCCCTCTCCGGCTCCCATCCCAGTTGTGAGCTATGATTAGGCTAAAGCAGAGGGTGGATGTTTCCATATTCTAATCTGTTGGGGCACCAAAAGGCCCCAGCCAATGACTGGGCTGTCACACCCCTCAAGAGGAACATAGGTGGGTTCCAGAAGCTGCTGCCCAATCCCTGGTCTCAAGGCCAAGCTCCTCAAACTTAGGAGCAAGTCCACCCCTATTGGACCCTCTCTTTTGCCTGGCCTGGCTCCCCAGGCTCAGCTCCTTATTTCCTGGTCAGTTTGGTTATATTGACTCAATACCTTTTGAATAGCTTTCTGTTAAGAGTTACCTAAAATTATTTTACTGTTGTTAGGTCTTTGGGGTCCCAGAGACTGAGTCCAGACCCTTGAGTTGTGATTTACTTTGTATTTGTTTATAATAAAAATAGATTGATATACACCCTCAGATGGACATGTACATTCTGGGGACATTCCCAGTAAAAAAGAGCCTTGGCAGGTGGGGGTATGTAGGGGCAGCGTCTCTGGGCTCCCTAGCCCTCTTGTAAGTACTTGCCCAGGACGGAGTAAGAGACAGATCTAGACAGGCCTCTCTGGATGAGCAGGTCCATGCAGCGGCCATATTTCCTGGCGAAAGGCAGTGTGAACTGGAAGGAGAGGCCAGTGTTACCCCGACTTACTGGATAGTGGTTTACTCCTACCTAGCTCTTTGTTGGGCAGGGTCCTCCCATCTGGGCAGGAGGGGGCAGTCAAATAGAATAAGGGGAAGGGCAAGGCCAGTTGTTGGGGACCTTTGATGTTCAGGCTCATTTATGCCCAAAGGCATCTTACAGGGCTGTGACTAGAAGTGGCTACCAGGGAATGGAGCAGAATAACCAGGGAATCAAAGATGTGTTTCCTGGACTGGTTTTCACTTTCTAGCCATAGCTATGACTTCACCTTTCTGATCAATAGACCAGCCAGAGACCTAACAGTAAGTGGCACATTTATGGTGAAAGGTGTTACAATGTACTCGATTACAGAAATACCAGGTTAATGCAAAATTAGCTACATCTTTTTCACTTACGTTAAAATAAAAATTTGAACTCTAAAATTTGGATGAATCACAAAACTCAGGTCATTCCTTTGCCCTTATTGAACATTTTCTTTGTAAAGGATGCTTTAAAGCAGCACATGTATGGAAGGAATGTGCAGAAGTGGTGACATCAGAGTTAAGTAGGTGCAGTTGGTATCACCCATTGAAAAGGTCTGACTTGCAGCAGTTTCTCTGATTTCAGCACCCCTAAAGCTTGGGCTCATATGATGTGTTTCCTAAGTGTGGGTTGTTAGTGATGAGGCAAAATTGGTATCAATGGAAGAAAACTACGAAAGCCAGTGGCGTGAATACTGCTTTTTTATCACTGGACTGGTTAATTTCAGCCATTTATTTCTCCTTCCCTGGGATCAGGGACCAAAAGTCTAGCTGCCTGCCTTGCTTTCTGGGCAGTGCTGGCCTGGCCCTCATGTGGCAAGACATGGCGTCCATCTGAGGTGTCCATAAGGTCTACACTCCTATTGGAGTGCAGGTGGCCCTCACCTCCACCCAGTTGTACAGGCATTCCTGGGTATGCTGGTCATTCTTGAAGCCGGTGATGGCCAGCAAATCCACCACAAACTGCTTGGGGCTGATGTGGAAGGTCTGCCGGGAGAGCACTTGGTCAGGCAGGGCCAGAGGCAGCTGCCCAACACATTAGCTCCCAGCCCCTCAGAGTGGGATAAAGAACAGGGGTTTCACTGGGCTTGCAGGAGCTGCAGGAGTTGGGAGGCACTATCACTCCAAACTGTCTCTTGGTCAAGGCTTGGTCTAGATAACACTGCCCTCCCTGTCTTTCTGTGTCTTCCCTTTTTGCCCCTGACCCACTCCCCTTACCTATAATCTTGGCTTACTTTTTCTTATCTTGTGCCACTTACTGTGGGGACAAGGGGACAGGTGGAGAAAGAACAGGACCTGGGACCTATCACACGTACCCACAGCTGGTTGGCCAGGGAGACCACCTTGGCAGTCATGGCTTTGGGGTCCTTCTGCCTGATGGAATCCAGGATGATGTCAGTCAGGAAACTGTGACATTTCTGTGCATAAAACATCTCTTCCCAGGACAGAGAGAAACTGAGGAAAGTCACCTCTGTGGAGGAGAGAGTGGATATGGTTAATCCCCCTGTGGCTAGGGCATTAATCTGGAATATGGGAGAGGTGTAGGGCTCCTGAGGGAGACTGTGTCCCTGAAGTACCCTGGGTGGGGGCTCAGACGTCTCTGCAAGGAAGTGCAGGGCCAGGCATGGTTCCAGAGCCTCACCTTGGGGCTGGAGGCTGGCTGTGGGCGGCATATGCTTGAGGTTATCCATCTGTGTAGTGTAGATGATGCTGTCCTCAAAGAACATGCAGGAGCCATCGCTGCCCACCACAGGGGGGTGGGTCACTTTGAGGATGACTCCTGTATTGTCCACCTCACTGGCTTCAGGAAGAGGCTTCTCACGGGCAGGGCTTTCTGTGAAAGCAACATGGGGAGGGGGTTCTCCTTTGCCACCTCAGAGCCCAAGCGGGGAAGAGATCTCTGCTGACAGACCAGTATGGTCAGTTACCCCAACCTTCCATTAGCTGCTGTCCCCAGCTTCTTAGAAGCAGCACCTTCTGCTGACAGAGGCCTGTCTTAACTCTCTCTTAATTGCCCTGGAATCATTTCAGAACTCCAAAATGTCTCCAAATTCATCTGTTGAACTAAAACTGGTATCAGTTAGAGCTGATAATAACCCAGCTGGGGACTGGAAATCTTTGTAAAATTGTAAAATGAGAGGAGTGTTTTGGGCAATCCTTTGATGCATGTCCCGTCTGAAGAGTACACTTGACAGACCAACATGGGGTTCACAGGTAGGGCCCATGATGGCCTGAGTCACTAAAAGGGAAAGTGACAGAATACTGTAGGAAGGACTTTGAGGGAGCAGGAGAAATGGCCATCATTGCAGTTCTCAGCACACTTCCCTGGGCTGTCTCACTTCCCCACCACATGTAACCCACCTCTTTCCTCAGCTCCTTTTCCTGTCCATCCCACCTGTTACCATCCACCTACCTCCTACAGTCACCCAAGCCAGAAACCTGGCCCCTCTTTGGTTAGATCTTTCCGTGTTTCCTCCCTTTGTTGCCTACTCTGCTTCACCTAGAATGATCTGACCCCTTGTAACACTTCCCTTCCTGCTGCTACATCTTTGCTCCTGGAGCCACCTTTCTGAATGCACACCTGACTGCGTGCTCTTTTGTTTAGAATGTTTCAGTGCCCTCCTCCCCATAAGATAAGAACAAAGTGCCAGGTACCGATTGGCCCACAGACCTGTCCTGATTACTTTCATCTTCAACCTATTCCCATCACGTCTCCACATGCAGCCTGGCCCCCAGCTAGACCAAAGTTCTGTTTCCACAAGCACGTGAGGCTTCTCCTTTCCTCCCCTGCTGACTTCCCAGCTCCCAACCTCTTTGTGCTCCTATTACTTCCTAGACACTTTCCCATATGCTTTATATGGTTTTTCAGCCCCTCAAGTTGTGCCAGTGTGCCTGCCAGTCATCTCTGTTGCTTAGCACAGAGTTATTACTTGTGAGTGGATGGTTTGAGTCCCTCCCACCCTCCATGCCACCTTGTCACTAACTGTGCAGTCTTGGCCAAAGTTTGTTTTCTCTGTTATAAATGAGACTTAGATCCAGGATGGAACAGGACTCACCTTTCTCCTTTGGCCTCTGCTTCCCCAAGACCTTCAGGGTGACGGCTCTTTTCGTGGGGAAGTATGGCTTAGAGGTTGGCTCTGGCCCCTTATCTTTGGCTCTAGCTCCAGCCCCAGCCCCTGCTTGTGGACCTGGTTCCTTCTTGGAGGCTGTGGAATAGCCTTTCCAGAAAGCTGAGGCGCTGAGCTGGGAAGCAGCCTCACTTCTTGAGGGGAGCTGCAGGACAGCTTCCTCCAAGGAGCTGCTCCAGGGGGCTGGCAGTGTCTGGAATTCCCACTCCTTGCAATTGACCATGTCCCACTCCTTCACCAGGGAGATGAGTTTTTGCATGGGGGTGATAGGAGGGTCTTTGGGTTCAGATTTCTGTGTGAGGTCGACTGTGGTACACTTCTTCGGGAGACTCTCAGGGTGGGGTCCCCAGTATCTGGAGTTGGCACAAAGGCCAGGATACTGGAAGTATGTGCTGGGATACTCCCTCTTGGCACCTCGGCACAGGGACACCTGGATGGTCTGAGAGTACTGCTTAGCCTCCTCCATCTGGCTGGACCTAGCCAGGGTTCCCTTGGCCTTGTTCCACGGAGTCCTATCACTGCAGTCTTGGAGGTCCACCGGCATGCAGGCTGTGGTCTGGGGAGGGGGGACACAGCAGCTCTGGGCATGTTGTGCTCCCATGTCGAAGCCTTACCCAAGATCTAATAAGCTGGGTCTCCAGGACTTCACCTGCTCCCTCAGAACAATCCTGTCCCCAACATGGGTTAACCATTTGGGCTTTGCTTAGTCCGAGTGGAGGTAGTGCCAGACCAGGGGCCTCTCACATTCCAAAGGGACACACTATCGACATCCCAGGCCACAAGTGGCTGACACCTCTCTGTGCCATTTTCAAAGTTCAGAAACCAGTCACCATGCCAGGAACCCACACAGACCCTCTTTCATTTTGCATGCCCTTCAGTAGGAGAGCCAATGTGCACAAGCCCTGTGGTGGTATTCTTTGAGGACACCACCACCCAAAGAAGGCTGGGGCTTACTTCTTTGGTGTCTCTACTGAATTCCTCCAGTGACCCTGGACCTTCTGTCACCACATGCAGCCTCCTGATAGGAAAAGCTTCTTCATTTTCAGATTCTTTCTCCTGTATCCATGACCTGCAGACTCCAAAAAGGGTTGGTTAGTGAGCAGAAGCCTCCATTAGCTCATCAACTAGTTGGTCAGGTCTTCCCTTTGGCTGGGAGTTGACTCTAGAGAGCCTGGGAGAAGGGACTTTTCAAAGGATTTGCTTAGGTTACTGGCCAGTCCTACACATGCTCCACTCCCTTAACCCCAAGAAGAACAGGACCTACTGGGAGGAGGGACTTAGGACAGGATTCCTTAGAGGAATATAAAGGTCCAAACATGGTGTCTTGAGCAGTTTCCTTACTTGTATGCCTCACATTGGGCAAGGGCTTCTGAGAGGGACGGGATGTCGTATTCCTCTACCTCTTGGCAGAAGAGGGGCCATTCCCTGCAAACAAGGAAATGTTGGACTGGACAACTGGGGTAGGAGTGTAGGTGGAGACATAACCTTTCAGAGGTGCTACCTTGAACAGCAGTTTACTTGGAAATTATATAACCTCCTCCCTGAAGGCTGCAAACTTAAGTTTCCTTTGTTGCAGAGGGATGGGATTTCATCCTTCTGTCACTTACTGAAATTCAGACGGTAAAAAGAGTTTTCCAAGTCTCAGGAAGTTGAGAATGTGTCTGAACATTTGGCCATCCCCGTGGATCATCAGGGCCTGTCCGTATGTGACCCAGTACACTCTCTGAGGGTTGGCCAGCAGCTCCGGATACTACACAGGATGTGACACCAGACTCTGTTAGTTAAAGGGCTAGATCTTTAGTAAGAGGCAAGTCAGTCTTTGCCCCCTTAATGTTCCCAACCATTCCAGAGCAGAGGCTTTGGGATTTCCATCTCCCTGTTGTGTCAGCCACAGGGAGCCACAGTGGGGAGCAGAGCACCCAGGAAGAAGCACATCATCTCTGCTTAAAGTTTTGCTGGCCCCTAGACTACTCGCTCAAGCCATTTTTGACCTTGAGACCTCCTCCTTGGTCTAGGCTCTCAGACTGGCCTCCTCCCTACCCAAACTCCTAAGGGCCTTTCCAGCAATGCTGTTCATACAATAAGAGCACTGGGCCGTGGAGCAGGGGGTAGGTCTTGTTCTAAGCAGGTACAGGAGGCTGTGTGAAGGTCAGGCCACAGGCTCCAAAACAGCTCAACTGCAGAAGCCAAAGGGAAAGGAGGGCAGCCTGGGGCCATCAGGTACCTTCAGCAGGGTCTGCAGGGTGGTTGCATACCAGTGGCTTCCAACATAGACTTTGACAATCTGTTGGAGGGAATACACAGTGACTTCTGCTGTCCACTCCTCATCTAAGGGAACCAATGAGAAGGAACATATCACATGACCAGGAGGGAAATTAGGTAGGGCATTTTGATCAGTAATGCACATTAAGACTCAATATCTTTATCAGTCATATTGCATTGCCTTCTCTAAGAAGCAGCAGAAATCCCTTACACCAACCTTCTCTGCTGGTCAGGCCTTCCCTACAGCTCAATGACAGTTTCCTAGATGGTGAGGTAGGTTTGGAATGGCAGCTTGGAGCGTCAGTTTGTGACTCTGAGAGTAGGGAGGGTAAGCCTGGGAATCTTAACCCCAAGGTCATTACTTTCTCCCCCAACCTCTCTCAAGAAAGCAGGGCTGATGTCCCTGACTACTTACATTGCCAACTGCCTCCTGTTTCTGGCTGGGTATGTCTTGGGTGTGTGATTTTTCAGGTGGCCCTTTAGAATGAGGCAGAGTCCCTCTACATGTTTGTCCTTATGGTTTGGCAAATGTCATGGTGCCAGCTCTCATCAAATCACTGTGACTTCTAGAATGGGGCTTTATTTTGGGAATATGAACCCATGACCCTTCTGGGGGAGACTATACCTAGATTGGTCTGATGTTTGGTAACCAGTTTCTAATGAGCTTTGTAATGAGTGAAGGGTATATAACTAGATTATATAACCAAGAGGTAAGAGGTATACAATTAGATTGTGAACTACATAAAGATAAGAACTAGGTCTGTTTTGTTCATTTCTGTATGCTTAGTGCTCACTTCTATCCTGGTATAGGATAGGAGCTCACTAAGTTGAATGTTGCTGAATGATAGTAATACAGTGTAAATTTGACCTAAAAAACTTTTTGTTAATAAAATTTTATAGGCAGCTAGCAAAAACCACATTGGCTTTGGACTCAGATTTAAGCAGCTCAGCCATGATCTAACTGTAATTTGAGCAGGTAACCTCCCTGAGCCTCTGCTTCATCTGTTAAATGGACCCAGGGACCACTGGTTTCTGGAAGGCTCTGAGGTCCAAATGAACACAGCATGTTAGCTCCCAGAGCGAGAGCACACATGCCCTTGGGGACCCATGTGGCCCCAGACTGTGTCAGTCTGTACTATTCAAGGCTACTCAGGGACTTAGGGTGAGGAGAGCTCACTTAACATGAAATTTTCCCTTTAGGCAAACCCACAAATGTTGGTCTGGCTCTCCTCTCCTATTCTGTCTACAGCTCCTGGCCCTGGCTAGCCTCATCTTTATTCCATAATACCCACACCCTCCTGTGATGTTAAATTCAAAATGAGAAGCTTCCTCACTTACTGAGCACATCTGTGGGTGCCAGAGTCTTCAGCTCCAGATGAGTCTTCAGAGCCACTTTCATTGGCTCATAGGTGATGTCCCTCTTGTCCAGGAAGGCACAGAGCTCATATACCTCGGAAATGGTCTCAGTCAGGGGCAGCCAGCAAGTCCCCAGCCAGTTCCTGCCCAGAGGAAAGGCCTGTCACAGAGAGCCTCAGCACCACGCCCCAAGGGAGTCCAGCCTATCAACTTCCTGTGTCTAGAATGTCCTGCCCCAATACTGGCTCAAACCTATGGCCACTAACATGCTTTCCTTGATTTAACCGGAAATCGTGATATCTTGTAAGAGGGATAGATTGGACATACAAGCTCACCTTTCTGGAGCTGAGCTTGCCCTATTTCCACAAAACCCTCTAAATCCACTAATTGCAAGCTTCCAGGCCCTTTCTCAGGTTCCAGAAGTCAGGCCAGGGCCACTCCCATCTTGCCCCCATAGGTATCTGCCCAAGACATCTAAGTCACTACACAGCAGCCTTCCATGGTCTTGGCCTATCACTAATAGCCTTTGTACCCAGAAAGAGGTCGGGCGTCTGAAAATCAACCCAACACCCCCAAAAGCACTTGTCTTTGCCCTCTGTGACATCAGGGGTGGGAGATCTCTGGGAGAGATGGATGGTGCAGACCACAAAGGCCCAAAACAACAGTATTGCGGTAAGTGTTCAGGGTTGGCTGACCCTTTCCCCAGGGGCTCAGGAAAACTCATTTCTACCTTTAGTTTGGATACCAGTGTATTCTGTGACCCCAAGAGATTGCTGTACTCTGAACCTCAGTTTACCCTTCTACAAAACATGATTAGAACCATGGCTCTCCACTAATGGGGACATTCTGAGCTCATTCCTCAGGGTAAAGGCTGGGTATCAACTTCTCTGGGAAGCCTGCCTTGCCTTGCTTCTGGAGATGGGGAGCTCACCCATGGCTCTTGCCTTTCTGTGTCCAGTGAGCCTACCAAGTGTTGGGGAGGCAGGACCTCTGTAAAGGGTCTGTATGGGAGAGGGAATATCTACCACCCTGAGGGTTGTGACTGTGACCTAGTCACCTTAGACTAGCACAGGGATAGAACTAGAGCAATGGATTGCAGAGAACAGAAATATGAAACAGTTTGAAGCTTTTGAACCTTTGGAACCCTTACTTGACACTACCTTTCTCCTCTGAGGCCTGGGTTCTGAGGAGTGGTGGTGGTTGTGGAAGTGGCTAAAATGATGGGTTTGTCCCCAAGGACATTACTTCCCTCTGGTTCATGGCAGGGCCCAGGTTAGTTCCTAGAGAAAGAAACCCAGCCTGAGTGGGATTGAGCTGTTTCTCGAGGAGGGCCTTACTTGATGTGTTGAAAGAGGACCCCGTTCCCTGTGATGTACAGTCTGCTTCCGTCCAGTGTGCTCTCAATGTGGAGCTGTCCCAGCGCTGAGTCTGGGTACTTGATGAGCAGACCCAGGGCCATCATGTATAGTGGCTTCATGGACTTCAGGCCTGCTGTGTGGCCCCCCTTCCCAGGACTCTGGGGAGGACAGGAAGCCTGGGAATAGCCACCTGTGCCAGAGAAAAAGGGGTGATTCCTAGACTCTTCATGGTCATAACTGTACCAGAAGCTTTGGGTCTCACTTCCTACTGCTGCCTTGAATTAGTAATAAAGGCTTAGAGGGAGCTCATTTCCTTGCATAGCCAAATCTGGAATGTCTCAATATTAGTATGAATTTTGTATACTCAGGCTTAGAGGTCAAAACTACTTGCTGGGAGGTGGTGGTGGGGTTGATTGCTGTATCACTAACATTTGGATTTCAGAAATTTTAGTATAGTACAGTAGCGAGCTGCAGGCATCTGCTTTAGTTCCAAGCTCTCTGTAATTACCCACGGGTTAAGATACTTTCAGGTTGGGTATTTGGGTTGCTGGTTCATGAGTGGGACCTTGTTCTCCTGCAGTGGGCACAATGCACAGTCCACAGGACTCTACCCCAATAGCAACTATGGGCTGGTAGGCAAGCTGCTGGGTGATTTTCATGGACCATCCAATACTCTGAGTAATCCTATAAGAGGAGTAGTGCTTCCCTCATATCACAGATGAGAAACTGTATCCTAAGGGCCTAAGTACTTTGCTCCAAACTGCAAAGCTAGGTGGGGCAGAACGGATTTGAGGGCAGCTCCATCCATCTCCAAGGCTACTGGAGCTGTTCCCCTTTGTTATGGTGCTTTATAAAAGGCAAAAAACAATGCTTTGTGTTTGGGGGCTACTGCATGGCTTACAGGGCCTGTGTGCAAACACAGTTCCCTCCATCTTCACGTAGCTCTTATGGGGCAGGCATGACTCTACTCGTCTCTAAATGAATTATCCACCCTCTCAGGAATGGAAGCCTTTAGGGGAGGGGTTTAACTCACACCCTCTTAAGTGGATTGTAAGACCCTGGGATGGACTCCTGAGACCTGCTGCAGGATGCCACTACCCTTAGTAGGATAGGACTCCATTTGCCTGGGGAAGAGCCTGGAAGAACTGGGCCTAAACACAGGGAAAGGCCCTATTCCCATGGGAGAAATGTCTGGTGACTCATAGGTCAAACTGTATATGTGTGAGACAGTTCTGTACAATCTCAGAATGCCAGCTGAAGCCACACTGAGGTAGCTAGCTCCCTGCAATATGCACGGAGCTTCCACAGATGTGCCGGATTTGGGGAATAGGATGACAAAAGGCAAACAAAAAACACAAGGAGCAAACTGAAATGAAGTAGAGCTGAGAGCATGAAGGCCTGGATTGGACCAGGGTCAGAAAGTATCAGGAGCAGGCAGAAATAGGTATTTTAGAGTCAGGGATTTTAGAGTAGGGGGAAAAGGGGATCTTGGGTGGGTTGGATAACTAAAATGCTAGTGGGGAATTTGCTCAAGAATTTCCCATGCCCTCCAGCTGTGCCTCAAAGAGAAAGGATGTGGGTGGCAGGTGGGTGCTGTTAAGTTCCCAATTGTTCACTACTTCCACAAGCAAGGCAGGCCTCCTTTGCCCCTAGGAAACCTGCCCTTGGGCCCAACCTCCCTCCCCAGGACATTCTGGCCTGGTTTCCCCACCTCGCCTGGGTTGAGCTGCCCATAGGTCAATGGGAGGCAGAGCAGACAGAGGGCACACAGGGTTTCGGTTAAAATTCCTGTTCTTAGGTTCTAAATCAGCCAAAACATCTGCTTCTCTCACCACCACCCAAAGCCCAAAGTGGTTGTGGGAAGGAAGATGTTTGTCTTGGCTTTTCCATCACAAGCCCAGAGTGTCAAGGCAAAGACAAGGCTACCCTGGTGACATACCCACCCATGTTCATCCAGGACAACCTTACAGCTTCAGTGAGCTCAGGGATTTCCAGAATTTCCACTTGTGCTTCTAATACATCTATGTTGGAGAAGTTATCTGGTAGTAAAATCTTCTGTGAGCGGAGAAAATTCACTTGAAAAGCAAAGGGAAACACAATGAGTTAACAAGGTTATTTCTTATTGAACTATAGATCCAGGTTTTGGCAGGCTTTTGGTGCTGCAACTTATCCTAGGCTCTCCTTGTTCTGAAACAGTTTCTAAACATACCTCATTAGATTAGCTTTGAGTCTCTGGTTTTCAAGATGAAAGACCCCAAACTACTGTTTTCCTGTATCTGAGTCCATGGGTGTGGCCTCCCAGGCCAGGCCCTCCTGTTGAGCATACTGGCCCTGAGACTTACCCTGTGAGTCTTGACCCAAGAGCAGGTCATTCCAAAAGAGGGAGTTGTCTTGCCGCTTAGAGAGGAAGAGCCCAGCTGAGCCTGGGCTGGCAGGTGGCATTTGCAGTTTATCCCTGCCTGGATTGCAGGGTGGGAGAAGAGATGGAGCCAATGCTAACATCCTGTGTGAATCAACTTGGACATCCAGAAACACATCACAGACAACTTTCCAGGTGACTATGAATGTGAATGGCTGGGGTTCCAGGCATTTGGGCCTCTAGTAAACCTTGGGTGTTTCCTGCCCTGCTCTACGAGGCGGCAGCAGTATCGTGGGATCAAAAAAGACATTCAGCTCCCACCCCCACTGGAGCTTGTCCTGGGGTGGGGAGGGTGGAGAGGGCGGGGAGGCTCTTTTCCAGGATTAAAGATCACATCCCTACTTAGTCCCCTAGTTTAGGCATATAATTCTACTGTGATGCTGGGGAACCCTTTCACCATCCACCCACCTTCCCTTTTATTCTGAGTTTAGTTTGACACAACCCTATTTCCTCATTTTATGGGGAGAGGAACTGAATCTGGAGCCCAGTTGGTTACATAAAGGCAGACCAGAAGAGTAGCTGACTTTGGAGCTCAGCTCAGGGCCTTGCTCTTCACACCAACTGCTGTGGTCCCTAACACCAACACAGGTAGTTTCCAGTGCCTCTTTACACCCAAGCCATCCTCAAGTGAACAGGAAATAAAATAGCCCTGAGGTTCATGGGAGTCTAATGCTGGGAATCTGATGGTCTCCTAGAAGGCTGTCATGCCTCCACCACCTCTGTCCAGGGAAGTTCCTGAGGCCCTAAGTACCAAGCTGGGCCTCCATGGTGTGTGGGATGGGGAGGGGTGGATAGGCTTTATCAGTCCCCACCCCACTACATGTAGAGTAATTACCAATGAAGCGGAATTCGCTGCACTCGCACTCAATCAGGGCCACAGTCTCAGCCAGCCACAGCAGATTGTCTTCAGTTACCAGGCTTGGATACTTGGACACTAGGTCTAGGGGCAGGAAGCAGTAATGCACTTCCTCTTCTGTGTCTAACAGTGGTGTGTCCATGAGCCCCAAAGGTGCCTTACCATGTAGAGCTGGAAGAGAATGTGCAGAGGGGGTGTCAATACCTCCCAGAGGCCAGCACAGCTCTCACTGACTCAGGGGCCCCAGAGGATGTTGTGGACAGATCACCCCAGAGATAGTCCCTGCCAAGTGCCTCCTTTTCAGATGTAACCCTAAGGTTTGACAGGAGTATGGTGGTCAGGACATGGAAATCTATTTTTTCTACAAGGAAGGGTAGTGGGACCTGTTGTGATATTTTGGCTTATGTACCTAAAGTCATTAAATTCATATTGGTGACATATTTGGCTCTTTCCAATTGATCAAACCAATCATTGTGGCCCACAGACAAAATTAAATCATTTGACTCTCTTGAAAGCTCAAAATAACTGTTCAATAATCATGAAAGGCATTCTGGTTTCCCAGATAGGCCAGTCTATGCAACAAGATATCCATCAGACAGAGATCATTTGGGGACATTTTTTGTGTGGTGGTTAGAGGTGACCTGAAAGATTGGTAGAGTTCCCTGACTACTAGGAAGGGGAGGAATGTAGCCCAGCCTTGCCCAAACAGGTATGCAGAGGAATGAATGTGGAGGAGAATGTTTACTTCAGTGGATAAGTAGCCATGGAAAGGGTATGTGGCAGGGTACAAGATCAAAGGAGATGACACGGAGGTAGAGAAATCATCTAGAACTAGTTCAGGAATCAGGATACTCTCTGGATGGAAGCCATTTCTGTTAGAGTGAGGAGTAGGGAAGCTGGTGTGAGCTTCAGAAAGGGTCAGCATGTGATGATACCTGTGAAGGCTGGGCTTTTTATAGGAAATTCTGAGGGTTTGCTGATACACTTCCACGTTCGCCAGTAGTTCAAAGATGCTCTCTCAGCAACAGGTATGTCTGCAGGCCGCACACGTAGGTGGTGTTTCCCTTTCTTCAGATTATCCAGAGTCTGATGAAGAAAATCACTGCCTTCAGAATTCTAAACCAAGTAAGTATCTACCAATTCTAGAGCAAAATACTAGGAAAAACAGTATGCAACTTATTTTGGTTAAGTGTTTTGAAAATTTTGAGTCAATCACACAAAAATGTAAAAATGTAGGTCTATAACATGACAGGCTGATATTCGAATTTTAAAGGACTATTTCTCTTCTGATTTCAAAAAATTTTTATGTTAGTTTCAGGTGTACAACTTAGTGATTTTTTTTGTCTTGGATCTATGTCTTTATTTTCTACAAATCAGGAGAAGTAATAACTTTTATCAGAAATTCCGAAAGGTTTCTTTGGGGGGATATTTCAGGTATTCTCAAAGAGAATTTTGTGGAAACTTGGGCCACTTCACGGACATTTTGCAGTCTTCCCTTTCTTAAAACAAAACTTCCTATAGACAGAACAAATAGAGATCAACTGCTTATTCATTACATTATATTTTGAAATGAAGGTCTTCCTATTCTTGACTTGCTGTTTCATTAGCACTTACAACATTATCTTGGACCTTTAGCTGAAGTTTTTTTTATTAAGATATCATTGATATACACTGTCTCATGCCACCATCTTTAACCCCCCTACAACATAGTGATTTAACAGTGATTTAATTTACAAAATGCTCACCATAAGTGTAGTTACCATCTGTTACCATATAAAGTTATTACAATGTTATTGACTATATCCCCTGTGCTGTACTTTTTATCCCTGTGACTTATTTCACAATTGAAATTTCATGCCTTTTCATTCCCTTCATCTATCTTGCCCATTCCCTATGGCAACCACCAGTTTGTTCTCTGTATGTATATTTCTGTTTTATGTTTTGTTTTTTAGATTCTACATATAAGTGAACTCATATGTTTTCTGTCTTTCTTGTCTGACTTATTTCAGTTAGCATAGTACCCTCTGAGTCCATCCATGTCTCAAGTGGCAATATTTCATTATTTTTTATGGCTGAGTAACATTCCTCTGTGCGTGTGTGTGTGTATAACATCTTTATCCATTCCATTTGGGTTGCTTCCATATCTTACTCATTGTAAATAATACTATGATGAACATAGGGGTTCATGTCTTTTTGAATTAATGTTTTCATTTTCTTTGGATAAATACCTAGAAATGAAATTTCTGGATTGTATGGTAGGTTCTATTTTTAATTTTTGAGGAATCTACGTACTGTTTTCCATAGTGGCTGCACCAATTTACATTCCCACCAACAGTGCACGGAAGTGTTCCCTTTTCTCTAAATCTTTGCCAATACTTGTTATTTTTTGCCTTTTTGATAATAGCCATTCTGACAGGCTTTGATTCTCATTTCCCTGATGATTAGTGATGTTGGGCCTCTTCTGATTTCTGAAACAATCTTTTTTTGGGTTATGATTTTATGCTGATTAATAGAAATTTATCCAATCTAAAGAGTGATTTATATTTAATCTTTAAAAATTTGAGATTTTCTGCTATCATTTTCCCTCAACTGTTAAAAAACTCAAAATCCCTTTTGAACAGTCATAATTGTTGTGACCTGCTTATTGTTTGTGTTCACCTTAATTCTGGAACATGATCTAAGTAGAGAAATAGAGGTGGCACAGGTATCAGTTTTTCAAAGCACTTTCACATACATTCACTCATTTACCCTTACACAGCCCCATGAGATAGATGTGGTGTTTGCCTTCCTATTTTACAGATGAGGCAGTTGGGGTCAAAGGATCTGTGGCTTGCCCAAGCAGTCTTCCAAGTCCAGAGCTTCCCTGCTTTAAAGAGCAGTTGACCAGGGATGGGCTGAGACTGAAATGGAGCAACCCAGCTAGGCAGGTCTGAAACCGGGGCAGAGGATGGTCTGGGTATCTTCATGCTACCCCTATTCAAGGACCCATTCTCCCTTAAAAGTCCTGTGGTGTGGGGAGCAGATTATCATAACATCAAGCCCATTTTTCTGTCCCTATTCTAAAAGAAAATAGTATTTTCCAAGACATTTTTGGAGACAGCTGTAAAGGTGGTCCTGGAAAGGTACCATATGAACATTTTCTCTGAGAGCCTGATAATAGACAGAATACCTCAGATTCAGCATGAAAGTCATAAAAGAACCTACTTCTAATTCCTAGGTGAAGCTTTCTGAAGCTGCTCTGGGGAATCCAGAACTTTGAGACGAGCCCTCTGGTGGCCATGGCTGTAAACTGTACTCACATAGCTGCCAAAGGTCTGCAAAAGCAGGGGACGGAAGTGGGAGAAGCTTCCCCACTTTGAGCAGCTGGTGGACATGTGGAAGGACTGGACAATGGCAGGATCACAGGGAGTACTTTCTTGGGGGCACTGAGCAATGGGAGAGATCAGTGAATGTGTGAAACACCAGAAGAGAGTCTGTCATTTATTCACTTGAGAAATACTTGCATTATCACCAGGGCCACAGTAAGATACCATGCCTGGACTTCAGAACTCTCAGCTTAGGGGAAAGCTGTGAGAAAAACATGGAAGCCAACAACTTACATATAGTGAGATAAGAACCAGCATTGGTTATGACATTTCAGGACCTTTAGAAACCCTGGGATATCTTTCCACAGCATTAGAAGGAGATCCAAGCTTTCTTGTTCCTCTTTGCTTGGGATTGCAGACAACTTTAGCTTTTATGTCAATCTGTCAGCTATCCTGAGGAGGCAAATTGGTGGCAGTTGAGTCTCCGTATGAGGGAGTAGTTGGCTTCAGGCAATGAGGAATAAAATGAGGTGTCAGGAAGTTGACTGAGAGGTTGGGACAGACTGAATCAGTGGGTGAGCAGGATTCTTGAATTAAGATGAGAGATAATAACATGGCAATATTTGTGAGGAGAAGTGAGACAAAGAAAGGAAATCAATGTGCACGGGAGGAAAAAGACAGGGTGGGGGGACAGTAGGTAGAGATGTATACTGAGCCACCTGCCTCTGTGCCTTGAATATGCCCTTATTTAAGGTATATGGAGGTTGAGGGAGTAGGGGAGAAGAATCTTGAGCAGCAAACAAAAGCCAGGGAGTGAAGAGCTCTGTAAACTGGGTTTAGGAGTTTGATTTATTGCCCTGGTTAAGAGAAGCCACTGAAGGATTAAATCAAGGACTGTGACTTGAGTGATATTCACACCATCTCTACCCAGTTAGCCAACAAACCCTGAGTCTATCTCTTGCTCTCTGCTCCACCAGTACTCATCTTTCCCTTTCCTCAGGTGTGGTTCCTTTTTTCCCAGGTCCTCTCCACACAGATTTTTTTTTTAACTTTTCATCTTTTTTTATGGTTACTTTTGTAAGTTGAAGCATGCAATAAAATGCACAAATCTGAGTTGTAGCTTGATGAATTTGGGCATGGGCATACACTCATGTAACCATTGCCTTGATCAAGATATCAAACATTATCAATTTTTTTCCCTTTCACCTGTTTCACCCGTTTCCCCACTCCTCTCCCCTGTGGTAATCACCAGTCTGTTCTCTGTGTTTATGAATCCATTTCAGGTTTGTTTGTTGTGTTTTTTAGATTCCACATGTAAGTGAAATCATATGGTGTTTGTCTTTCTCTGACTTATTTCACTTAGCATAATGCCCTCTAGGTCTATCCATGTTGTCTCAAATGGCAAGATTTCATTCTTTTTTATGGCTGAGTACTATTCCATTGTATATATGTACCACTTCTTTATCCCATTCATTTATTGATGGACATTTGCATTGTTTCCATGTTTTGGCTCTTGCAAATAATGCTGTGATAAACATAGGAGTAAATTCATCTTTTTGGATTAGTGATTTTGCTTTTGGGTAAATTCCCCAAAATGGAATTGCTGGGTCATATGGCACTTCTATTTTTAGTTATTTGGCAAACCTCCATACTGCTTTCCATAGCGGCTGCACCGATTTGCAATCCCACCAGCACTGCACAAGGGTTCCTTTTTCTCTACATCCTTCCAGCACTTGTTATTTCCTGTCTTGTTGATAGTCATTCTGACTGGTGTGAGGTGATACCTCATTGTAGTTTTGATTTACATTTCCCTAATGTTTAGTGATATTGAGCACCTTTTCGTGTGTCTGTTTGCCATCTGTATGTCTTCTTCGGAAAAATGTCTATTCAGGTCCTCTGCCCATTTTTTAATTGGCTCATTTATTTTTTGGTGTTGAGTTGTGTGAGTTCTTTATATATAATTTTGGATATAGGCTCTTAACAGATACATCATTTGCAAATATATTTCCCCTACAGTGGGTTGCCATTTCATCTTGTTGATGGTGTCCTTTGATGTCCAGAAGCTTTCTAGTTTGATGTAGTCCCACTTGTTCATTTTTGCTTTTGTTTCCCTTGCCTGAGAAAACATATCCAGAAAAAAATTACTAATGCTGATTTTTAAGAGTTTATTGCCTGTGTTTTCTTCTAGGAGTTTTATAGTTTCAGGTCTTATATTTAGGTCTTTAATCCATTTTGAATTTAGTTTTGAGTATGGGATAAGACAGTGATCCAGTTTCATTCTTTTATAGGTAGCTGTTCAGTTTTCTAATACCATTCATTGAAGAGACTTTCCCCCATTATATATTCTTGCCCTTTATCATATATTACTTTACACACAGAGATCTTTCAAACATACAAATATGTCCAAACTATTCCCTGTATTAAAAAGCTTCACTGCTCCCCATTACCTATGGGATCAAATCCAAATACACATCTCCAAGTCCTGGTTCCTCACATGCAAAGTGGAGATAATAAAATATGGAAGGTGTTGTTAAGAATTAAAGGAAATACAAATGTTAATTTCCTTCTTCTCAGTGGTCAGATCCCATACTACCTTCCCAGCTTCATATCCCACCATTCTTTCTGTCTCTACCCCATCATTATTGACATTAAACTCCACAAAACTCCAAAGACAGATCATGTTCTGTGATTCCTCCTCAATGTTATGTATGCTGTTCCCTCTTCACAAAATACTTCTCTTTTATTCCCATGGACCCTGCAAACTTCCCTATCTGGGCCTCTGGCTTGGTTTCAGTTCTGTTCTCTCCCTCCTAGCAAGGCTCCTGGACAGGGACTGGGTTGATGCACCCCCAACCTCCAGTCTAGAATCTAGTATATAGTAAGTGCTCAGAGCTGCTGTGTTAAGAGAAATGGAGGGATAGAGGGCTGAGTCTTCTGGAAATAAAAGCAAAATGAGACATGGGGGAGCCCAAAAGGAGCTGGCAGAAAAGCAGACTGCGTTCATAAAAACTGAGAAAGATGCTAAGTATCCAAAACCAGCACAGGAAAAGCCAGCATATGGGTAGAGCCAAGGGAGTTCAGAGGGCAGTGAACAGAGTGATTCCAACTTGGAATATAGAGTTCAAAGGGAAGTTCTAAGGGGAAGAGGTACAGAGACAAAGGAGAAGGAGACAGGATGACAGGAAGGGCTCAGCTTAGGTCTGATTGGTGATGGAAATGGAAGACATTGGGTGAAATAACAAGAAAGGAGAATGAAACTAGGCAAAGCCTGCAAGAAGACCATTCCAAGCCCATGCCAACCTGACCACATCACAGGAACTTAAACTGCCATTTACTTCACCTGCAGATTCAAATTTCAAGATTCTATCTTAGTGCAGGAAACAATGGTGCCCTCTAAATTGGTCCCTGGGGAGGGGCATACTCAAGGAGGGAATCCCTACCTGGGAGAAAGACCTGTCTGAGGATGGGCCTGGATACTCTATTTGGAGGTACTGTTTGGTATCCAGGAATGTCCTTTGGGGCAGGTTAATAATGACAATCCAACTGGCTTGAGAGATGTGCTAATTGAAGGGATGATCTGTTTTGTAGAAATGAAGTCTCCAATTCCTACCACTTCCACTAATGTAAAGTGTGAGCAGTGCCATATTCTTGAAGAAAGGTATGTTTGACAAATCTTTAAAAAGAAAAAAAATCAAACAAATCCACAAAGGTCACAATTCCTACCAGTCAGGTCATGCTGTGAGCACTAGGCCCAAGCACCTCAACTAGGTTGTTCTCTAAATCTCTCAGCCAACTCTTCCTCTGACCTCTAGAAATACAAGTCCTTCTACTCATGGGAAGCCATTTAGGTGTTGTAAGAATCCACAGAAAGCATTCCTTACCCTCTCACCATGCTTTATTGTTCTCAGTAACACCTATTTATTTATTTACTGACAGCCAGCCTCCTCTAATAGATATAACCTCCAAGACCATGAAGACCCTGCCTGTTTTGCTCCCTGTTGTATTTGCAGCACTCAGAACAGTGCCTGCGGGATCCTGGTACATTTTTTAGAAGGAATGAGTGAATGAATGATTGGGTGAGTGAAGAGCATTTCAGAGAGCCTAGGTTTCCAACTGTCCTTTGACTTTGCTGACTGAAGTTGCCACAGTGTGTGTGGCTGGACTTCAATTCCACTTACATCTGCCTGAATATTAGTTCTGGGACTTTCACTCTTCATATATTATGACCCACACAATTATTAGGAGGAGGATTTCTTTAGGAAAATATAGACCTGAGTTCAAATGGCTAATTGCTAGCACAAGGATAGCTAGTGTTGATTTTGGCCTAGATAGTATGAAACCGATGAGACTGATGGCACGGGGGCAAGTGTGTATGTGTGTGTGTGGTTGCAAAATGATGGCTGACAAATGCATTGCTGGCAGAGCTTTGGGACTTAACAGAGGTTTTCCAAAGTGGCAGCAGTGCTCAGAGATGCCTTATGCTCTGATGTGGGCAGTTGGAAGGAATGTAATGGTAAAGGAGCTCAGAGTAGCTTGCAAATCTCCAATTGCCTTGTAAAGACTAGGAGAGCCAGCACCTCTCTGAAACTCAAGGGAAGCAAGGCTGGTAGAACAAAAGGATGTGCAGAACAGCTGCTATCAGCTAAAGAAACCTAGTGAAACACAGCTTCAGCACATCAAGCTTGCCCCTCCATGGCCAGCTCCAGCCCCCTCATCCTGCAGAAGTAGATTCAGACTTCACAGGTCATCTTGGGTACACCATTTAATGTTCTCTCAGCAAATTAAACACCTATTACAGGCCGAATGATAATGATGAGGTGAGAGATGCTAGGAATGCAAATATGAAAAGAATACAGGCTAGTGAGGGAGAAAGACAGGAATTACAACCCAAACAGAATTAGTATTAATTAGTACAGAGGAACTGATGCTGTTATGATAGCAGAGAAACAAAAACTCTGCCTGGAAATGTCAGGCTAGACTTCCTGTGGCTTACTCTTTTTTAAATTTTTAAAATTTTTTATTAAGGTATCATTGATATACACTCTTACGAGGGTTTCACAAGAAAAACAACGTGGTTGCTACATTCACTCATATTACCCCCCCCATACCCCATTGCAGTCACTGTCCATCAGTGCAGTAAGATGCCACAGAGTCACTACTTGTCTTCTCTGTGCTACACTGTCTTCCCCATGACGCCCCCCAACATCATGTGAACTAATCATAATGCCCCTCAATCCCCTTCTCCCTCCCTCCCTCCCTGCCCTCCCCTAACTCTTCTCCTTTGGTAACCGCTAGTCCCTTCTTGGAGTTTGTGAGTCTACTGCTATTTTGTTCTTTCAGTTTTGCTTTGTTGTTACACTCCACAAATGAGGGAAATCATTTGGTATTCGTCTTTCTCTGCCTGGCTTATTTCACTGAGCATAATAGCTTCTAGCTCCATCCATGTTGTTGCAAATGATAGGATTTGTTTCTTTCTTATGGCTGAATAGTATTCCATTGTGTATACGTACCACACCTTCTTTACCCATTCATCTACTGATGGACACTTAGGTTGCTTCCATATCTGGGCTATTGTAAATAGTGCTGCGATAAAAATAGGATTACATATGTCATTTTGAATCTGAAAAGTTGTTTTCTTTGGATAAATTCCTAGGAGTCAAATTCCTGGGTCAAATGGTATTTCTATTTTTAGTTTTTTGAGGAACCTCCATATTGCTTTCCACAATGGTTGAACTAGTTTACATTCCCACCAGCAGTGTAGGAGAGTTCCTCTTTCTCCACATCCTGGCCAGCATTTGTTGTTTCTAGTCTTTTGAATGTTGGCCATCCTAAGTGGTGTGAGGTGATTTCTCATTGTGGTTTTAATTTGCATTTACCTGATAATTAGTGATGTGGAGCATCTTTTCATGTGCCTGTTGACCATCTGAATTTCTTCTTTGGGGAATTGTCTGTTCATATCCTCTGCCCATTTTTTAATCAGGTTATTTGCTTTTTGGGTATTGAGGTGTGTGAGTTCTTTATATATTTTGGATGTTAACCCCTTGTTGGATATGTTGTTTACAAATATATTCTCCCATACTGTAGGATGCCTTTTTGTTTTGCTGATGGTGTCCTTTGCTGTTCAGAAGCTTTTTAGTTTGATGTAGTCCCATTCATTCATTTTTGCTTTTGTTTTCCTTGCCCAAGGAGATGGGTTCAGGAAAAAGTTGTTCATGTTTATATTCAGGAGATTTTTGCCTGTTTTCTTCTAAGATGGTTTCATGACTTACATTCAGGTCTTTGGTCCATTTTGAGTTTACTTTTGTGTATGGGGTTAGACAATAATCCAGTGTCATTCTTTCGCATGTAGCTGTCGAGTTTTGCCTACACCAGTTGTTGAAGAGCCTGTCATTTCCCCATTGTATGTCCATGGCTCCTTTATCATATATTAATTGACCATATATGCTTAGATTTATATCTGGGCTCTCTTTTATGTTCATTGGTCTATGGGTCTGTTCTTGTGCCAGTACCAAATTGTCTTGATTACTGTGGCTTTGTAGTAGAGCTTGAAGTCAGGGAACGGAATCCCCCCAGCTGTATGTTAAGGCTTTGATTCCAATTATAAAATAACCATTAAGAGGTATGTCCATAAAAACATAAAAACAATAACCATTACTTACTAAGGAATGCCCATAAAAACATGCATTATGAAATATTCCCATCCCTATATAATCTAAATATCACTTTTCTTTTAAGAAATGTTGGGGAGGCACAATTGGTAGTGCACTGAGGCACACTGGGGCTTGCTGTGTTGGTGCTTGTGGAGATGGCGTAAACAACACCTTGACTGGAAAGTGGGATTAATATGGAGTATGGCTACTGGTCCTTGCCCATCACAGGATTTAGTTCTTCTAAGTTAAGAAATATCATTGTTCAAAAACTAAGAATAAACTATTTAAGATAAGCCACAGAAATTAGTTCTGTAGTTTGAGAAAAATTAACAAAGAAGGTAATGTTCTTTGGTGATACTTAAAATGTTTATTAATAAGGGTATTTAAAATTCCTATTCATAATGAAGAAACAAGAAGTCTTGGAAAACAGAGAAGTGAAAAGTGAAGACAAAGGAAAGATTCTACAGTTTGGAGGATTTTGCTTTGCTGTAAGTGAACATTATATATTTAACAAGCACAATGAGAAGTAACAGTCTTGATGAATCTTTTAGATTTTAAATCCCAGACACAGTACATACAGCAAACCCTATTTTTACTAAAGATTTCACCTTTTAAAATTCAACAACAAAACCAAGAAGCTAATAGGATTTCTAAGAGTCAAGGACTCCCTCTGAGGGCTGGTAAGTCCCATCTGAAGTCCATGGTAGCTGCTGGCTTAGGTAAGGCAGAGTCAAGAAGAAATCCTTTATTCAGAATATTCATTTCCAGTGTATTACTACCTCAACTCACTCATCACACTTCCCCATTAAAAGGGTCATCTCAGCAGCCAGTATATAAATGAATACAACATTAGTGCTGTAAGGCCTAAGTTCCTGTCATCACTCCTGGAAGAGTATCTTACCTGCAGTAAAGGCGTCAGCTGCAAACCCAGTGCTTGTTCATAGAGCAAGTTTAGTTCTGTACAACTGGAGAAGGAGAGTTCGGAAGTATAGAGGTAATAGTGCACATGCCTAAAGATGGAACCATCTCTGTCAATGAACAGGCTCTGGCTTTCTGAAGAGTTCAAGGCTGAAGCCTCTTTCCACAGCAGGGAGTCTGGGAACTGAGCAAGTTTGCTTCTGGGAACTGAGAAATGCCAGCCCCCAATGTTGAAATGAAACAAATCCTCTGCAGATTCATGAGGCATACCAGGCTCCTCCTAAAGGGGGAATGAAAAGAGAAATATGCAAGAAAAGAAATAAAAAGCATCCATATTGGAAAGGAAGAAGTAAAACCATCTCTATTTGCAGATTACATGGTCTTGCATATAGAAAAGCCTAAAGAATTCACTAAGAAATTAGTAGAAATGAGTTCAGCAAGATTGAAGGGTCCAGGTCAATATAAAAAATCAATTGTATTTTTATACACTAGCAATGAACGATCCAAAAATGAAATTAAGAAAATATTCCTCTCACCACTGTATCAAAAAGAACAAAATATTTAAGAATAAATTTAACAAAAGAAGGGCAATACTTGTACTCTGAAAACTTAAAGACATTGTTGAAAGAAATTTTAAAGGATCTAAATAAATGGAAAAATACCCATAATTATGGTTCAGATGACTTCATATTAAGATGGCAATACTCCCCAAATTGATCTACAGATTGAACACAATCTTTATCAAAATTCTAGCTGCCTTTTTTGTAAAAATTGACAAGCTGATGTTAAAATTCATATGGAAATATAAGGGATCAGAATAGTCAAAACAATACTCAAAAAGGAGAAAAAAGTTGAGGATTCACATTTCCCACTTTCAATACTTACTATAAAGCTACAGTAATCAAAACAGTATGCTACTGGCATAAGGATAGACATATGGATAAGTGGAATAGAATGGAAAGCCCAGAAATAAACCCTTACATTTATGGTTAATTTAATTTTTACAAGGGAATTAAGACAATTTGGCTTAAAGAATAAGAGTTGGGACAACTTGACATCTACATGCAGAAAGAATGAAGTTGGACTCCTACTTCACACCATATACAAAAATTAATACCAAGTGGATTATAAACCTAAAAATAAGAGCTAAAAATATAACACTCTTAGAAGAAAACAGAAGATTTTCATGACTTCAGCTTAGGCAATGCCTTCTTAGAAAAAGATACAAAAAGTACAAGTGAAATAGAGACAAATAAATACAACTAAATCAAAATTTAAAACTTCTGTGTTTCAAAGGACACTATCAAGAAAGTAAAAACCCATATAATGGAATAAAATATTTGCAAATCATATAATTGATAAAGATATTGTACTTAGATTATATAAAGAACATTTACAATTCAATAGTAAAAAGACAACCAAATCTAAAAGTGGGTAAAGAAGCTAAGTGGACATTTCTCCAAAGAAGATACTCACGTGACCAATAGCACATGAAAAGACATTTATTAGTCATCAGGAAATGCAAATCAAACTCACAGTGAGATACTACTTCACACACACTAGGATGGCCTGAGTCAAAATAATAGATAACAGGTGTTGACAGAGTTTGGATAAACTGGAACTCTCATATACATGCTGGTAGGAATGTAAAATGGCACAGCTGCTCTGGAAAAGCTTAGCTGTTCCTCAAAATGTTAAACACAGAGGTACTACCTGGCCCAGTAATTCCACTTCTAGGTATAAACTCAAGAGAAATGAAAAACTATGTCCACAGAGAAACTTGCAGCAAATGTTCATAGAAGCATTATTCACAATAGTCGAAAAGAAACAACTAAAATGTCCATCAATGGATGAATGAATAAATAAAGCGTGCATACAGTAAAATATGTACAATGAAATATTATTTGTCAATGAAAAGAAACGAACTTTTGACACATGGTATAATATGAATGAAACCTTGAGACATTATGCTAACTGAAAGAAATCAGACACAAAAGACTACATATTATATGACTCCATCTATATGTAATGTGCATAATGGGCAAATTTATATATACAGAGAGTAGATTAGTTGTTTTGCCAAGGGCTAGGGAAGTTAGGGGTTGGATGAGGGATGGCTAGTAATAGGTATGGAATTTCTTTTGGGGATGTTCTAAACATGATGAAAATGTTCTAGAATTGATTGTGGTAATTGTACAACTCTGTGAACATAATAGAAACCATTAATTGTACACTTCAAAATGGTACACTGTATGGTATGTGAATTTTATCTTAAAACTGTTTTTAAAAGAAAGTTATGATGACACTGATGGACAGTGACTGCAGTGGGGTATGGGGAGGGCTCAATACTATGGGTGAATATAGTAACCACATTGTTTTTCATGTGAAACCTTCAAAAGAGTATATATCAATGATACTTTAATAAAAAAAAGAGTTATGATGAGGTGCTCCCACCCCATTGAGCATGTGCAGGACTCTTTTGGGATCATATCTACAGAAACATTACATTCTTGGAAGGTCATGGTAGGACAGCTGAATGTTGTGGGTTCCTTTTTATATACACAAAGGCAGCAAAGATCATTAGTTTTCATCAGCTCATTATTAAAAGTTCAAGTTTATCTATTTATAAATGAATTGCATATTTTGCTTCAAGATGACCTAGCTTATCAACACTATAGAAAAGTAGAAAGCCATCAGTCATCCAAACCATCTGTATCAGATTTGAAAATAAGTGTTCAAGCACTGCTCTTGTAAAAAAAAAAAAATTAAGAGTGGAGGATGCCCACTCTCCCCACTTTTATTCAACATAGTACTGGAGGTCCTAGCCATGGCAATCAGACAACACAAAGAAATAAAAGGTATCCAGATTGGTAAGGAAGACATTAAACTGTCTCTGTTTGCAAATGACATGATGTTGTACATAAAAAACCCTAACAAATCCACCCCAAAACTATTAGAACTAATATCTGAATTCAGCAAAGTTGCAGGATACAAAATTAATACACAGAAATCTGTTGCATTCCTATATACTAATGATGAACTAGCAGAAAGAGAAATCAGGGAAACAATCCCATTCACAACTGCATCAAAAAGAATAAAATACCTAGGAATAAACCTAACCAAGAAGGTGAAAGACCTATGCCCTCAAAACTATAAGACACTCATGAGAGAAATTAATGAAGACACCAATAAATGCAAATACATCCTGTGCTCATAGATAGGAAGAATTAATATTGTCAAAATGGCCATCCTGCCTAAAGCAATCTATAGATTCAATACAATCCCTATCAATATACCAATGGCATGGCATTCTTCAATGAACTAGAGCAGAGTCCTAAAATTCATATGGAACTGCAAAAGACCCCAAATAGCCAAAGCAATCCTGAAAAGGAAGAATAAAGCTGGAGAGATTATGCTCCCCAACTTCAAGCTCTACTACAAAGCCAAAGTAATCAAGACAATTTGGTACTGGCACAAGAACAGACCCATAGATCAATGGAACAGAACAGAGAGCTCAGATATAAACCCAGACATATATGGTCAATTAATATACAATAAAGGAGCCATGAATATACAGTGGAGAAATGACAGCCCTTTCAACAACTGGTGTTGGCAAAACTGGACAGCTACATGTAAGAGAATGAAACTGGATTATTGTCTAACTCCATACACAAAAGTAAACTCAAAATGGATCAAAGACCTGAATATAAGTCATGAGACCATAAAACTCTTAGAAGAAAACATAGGCAAAAATCTCTTGAATATAAACATAAGCAACTTTTTTCTGAACACATCTCCTTGGGCATGGGAAACAAAAGCAAAAATGTACAAATGGGACTACATCAAACTAAAAAGCTTCTGTACAGCAAAGGACACCATCAGTAGAACAAAAATGCATCCTACGATATGGGATATTAGATTCGTAAACAACATACCCGACAAGGGGTTAACATCCAAAATACATAAAGAACTCGCATGCCTCAACACCCAAAAAGCAAATAACCTGATTAAAAAATGGGCAGAGGATATGAACAGACACTTCTCCAAAGAAGAAATCCAGATAGCCAACTGGCACATGAAAAGATGTTCCACATCACTAATTATCAGGGAAATGCAAATTAAAACCACAATGAGATATCACCTCACACCACTTAGGATGGCCAAGATTCATAAGACTAGAAACAACAAATGCTGGCTAGGATGTGGAGAAAGGGAAACTCTCCTGCACTGCTGGTGGGAATGTAAACTAGTTCAACCATTGTGGAAAGCAATATGGAGGTTCCTCAAAAAATAAAAATAGAAATACCATTTGACCCAGGAATTCGACTCCTAGGAATTTACCCAAAGAAAACAACTTTTCAGATTCAAAATGACATATGTAATCCTATGTTTATCGCAGCACTATTTACAATAGCCCAGATATGGAAGCAACCTAAGTGTCCATCAGTAGATGAATGGGTAAAGAAGGTGTCGTACAAAGACACAGTGGAATATTATTCAGCCATAAGAAAACAAATCCTACCATTTGCAACAACATGGGTGGAGCTAGCCTCAGTGAAATAAGCCAGGCAGAGAAAGAAAGTACCAAATGATTTCACTCACTTGTGGAGCGTAACAACAAAGCAAAACTGAAGGAATAAAACAGCAGCAGACTCACAGATTCCAAGAAGAGACTAGCGGTTACCAGAGGGAAGGAGGTGGGGAGGGTGGGTGTGGAGGGAGGGAGAAGGGGGTTAAGGGGCATTATGATTAACACACATAATGTAGGTGGGTCATGGGGAAGACAGTATAGCACAGAGAAGACTAGTAGTGACTCTAAAACATCTTACTATGCTGATGGACAGTGACTGCAATGGGGTGGGGCGACGACTTTATAATATGGGTGAATGTAGTAACCACAATGTTGCTCGTGTGAAACCTTCATAAGTTTGTATATCAATAATAGCTTAATTTAAAAAATAACATAAAAAATTAAAGTGGTAAATAGTATACAAAATTTTAACTAAAAAGAACCATAAAACAATGTTGAATTCTAGGTAAAAATTATGCATGTTGAAGTGAGGGGGTGCAATGTACTGATATTTATAACTTATTTTGAAATGCATAAAAAAATAAGATGATTTATGGATACAGGGATGGGTAAATGGACATGTGATAAAACAAATAGAGCAAAATATTCATTGTAGAATCTAGGTATATGATCACTGTACAATTCTTTCAACATTTCTGAATGTTTCATAATTTGCATTAAAGTGCTGTTGGGAGTGAAAGAATTTTAAAGAGGTAGTTGTTTAAGAGAGTAAGAGCCCCCTTCAACAAAAATCTGCATCTCCTATTTTGACAGCTGAAGAAGGAAAATAATGCCTGCGACAAAGAACGGGATTGGATTCTTTTCTCTCACGATAAGCCTGGTCTAAATATTCAGATATAACGAAGAACAATTATATATATCACATTTGAGGCTAGAAGAGTTAAAGGGGACATGAAGAGAACGATTACAAATTGTAAAATGGTGTCATGACTCAGAAGCAGAGGGGAACAGCCAATCTAATGAGATAATCCTAACCCTTCTAACCATGGCTAAGGCCGAAAAGGACAAGCTGAGAGTAACTGAAGGCTTCTAAACCATAAAGCATGAAAATGCAAAGACTTCATTTTGCTTTGCTTTCCTTAAAGGTGAGTAGCTGGTTAAGAGCTCAGTGAAAGTGACTCAAGTGTGCACATTTTGGATGCCAAAGAAAACCTGCTCCTTGCAGTTAAGCTGCAGTTCTGATCTCAGTTCCTCTTTTCTTATTAAGGATAGGGTATGACAAGAGGGTTTTGGCTCAAGAGTTTTCCACCTTCCTCCATGGACTTATTCCAACCCTGGGTGGACTCTCAAGAGATGCCAGCTGGACTGAGGACAGGGGTCCAGGTTGTGGCTGTTCTTTCCAGAGTTTTCTTCCTAAAGACTGTTCAGCAGCTGGTTAAGTGTAGATCTATCCCAGCCTGAGAAGAGTCCTTAGTCACAGGCAAGCTTGGGGGCCTAGTCCTTGAAGGACAAAAGGCTTGTTGCCAGACTGTAGAAATGAGTAAGCCCTAGTATAGTTATCCCTGCACCATCCCAAGGTATCTCTTTCCCACGTGACCCTTCTCCCCCAAAGGAACGCCTTCCAAATCAGCTTCTAGAGCTAGAACCACCTCGTGCTCTAAAGACTGGACGCCAACTCCTCAGAGACGGCTTCCCCCAAACGTTTCAGATCTGGAGCTCCCCATCGTGCCTCAGAGAGCTGCATCCCTACCCCAATTCTTCCGATCTGAATCCTTCCGTTCACCCGCCGCCTTGCCTCAGAATCAACATCCCCAAGCGCTGAGATATGAAACCTTCATCGTATCGAGAGGCACACTCCCACCGCTCAAACCTGGAGTCCCCCGGATCCTCAGAGTTAGAACGTTCAGCCCTGAAAGCAGGCGCATTCTGCAACTCCTCAGAGCCAGCCCCCAAACTGTTCAAAGCCGGGCCATGTTCCCCAGGTCTGTCGGTACCACAGCCAGGTCCCTATCCCAAAAGCCCTAATCCTCCGCACGTCGTTCCGCATTCGCCGTTTTAGTGTTTTTGGCGTCCCCGCCAGGGTGGGCTCCATACCATGGTCGGGTCTCCTGAGGCGGGCGAGGGGCGGATGGGGAGGGCAGGCTCGTGACCCGGGCAATAACGGCCTTGGGGAGAGCGCGGGGGCGCGGGGGCGGGGCCTGGCCCTCACCGCGCGGCCTCGCGGACGCCGTCAGGTGAGCGGCGCGGCGGGGATGGCCGAGCCGTGGGACCTGGACGAGGAGGGCATCCGCCGCCTGGGGGCGCTGACCCTGGGGCAGCCCGGTAGAGCCCGGCCGGGAGGGCCTGGGCGGGGGAGCGTAGGGTCCGAGGCTGAAGGGAGAAAACTGACGTGGCGGCATTGGGGAACCTAAGTAGACAGCGGCTGTGGAGCTGTCCCTGAGGCGGAGGGGTTACTGCGGCAGAAGGGTTACACCGAGTTGGAAGCGAAGGCACTAAAGTAATCGGGGAGTCTGGGGCCGAGGGTGAGGAATTGAGAGGAGCGTAATCTTGAAGTGAAGGAGAAACAAAATTAACCGGGCTCTGCGGCTGGGAGCACAACTGTACAGAGTCTGAACACTGAGTCCCAGGAGGGCACGGGCATGGGGAGGGAAGTGCTGAGAACGGCGTGTGAGGTCTGGGTCGTGAGGAGGCACGAAGGGCTTTAATTTTGGCAGTTTCAGAAACTGCCTACCCGGGAGGGCTTTTCCTGGTTGGGGTGAAGTAGGAAAGGATGTTCCTTTATCTGCGGCGCTCATTGTCCAGTCTCCGCCTCAAGAAGTTGAACATTTCTTTGATCCATCCGGATGTGTATCCTCCTTCTGAGACACTCAGAAAGGGCCTGATGTGAAAGGAATAGCCACTGATTTCTCAAGGCGCTTGGGTCGGTGCCCCCGCTCAGACTTCGTCCTAGAGGTAAAACCGCGGAATGACTGCCGACCCCACCTTTGACCTGGGGTCTGACTCACATAGCTTGCTTTCTGAGTTTCTAAGGAGTAGACACGTTGAAAAAGTTACCGGCAATCCTATTTCAACTTTTACCTTCCCTAAATTCATTATATCATTAATGCCAGACCCATGTTGAATGCTTTCTCTGAATTATTTAATCCCCATACCAAACCTATGAAGCAGATGCTGTTATAGTTCATAGGATCTGTATTTTGCAGATGAGTAAAATTAGGTTTAAACTCCTGCTCAAAGTCACAACTCAAAGTGATGCAGCCAGGGTTTTTAAATCCATGAGTCCAGAGCCTGTGCTGTAATCACAACAAAAGTTGCTTTTCTTCTTCTAGTACTTTTTATTTGTGGGATATGAAATTAACTTGGTTTTATTTTATTTAAAAAGTATTTATTATTTAAAAGTTATTAAAATTAGTGCATGCTAGCAACAGTCAAACACTACCTGAGTGAACAGATAAAGCACCAATTTTTTCTTCCTCTGAAAATCCCTTCCCCTACCATAACAGAAGATAATGGTTTGGTGTGCATATAGAGGTTTATTTTTCTCTGAACTCTCCTGTTTTACAGTTGCTAAAAAAAGACTTTACTGGCTTGACACACTTTTGTATCTTTATTATCTTCTTTTTAAAAAATATTGATTCAATTTTATTTGGGGAGGAGGCCACACACCTCTTCCATTCTCCAGCTAGAACAATATGTGGCAGATTTTTTTTGCTTATTTTTATTACAGGCATTTGAATAATAACAAAATTGTATTAATTCTGGCAATTCAAATAGAAAAGGATATGAAGAAAAAGAATATTCTTCCCTCTTCCTCCATTCATACCTTTTCCATTGTTTATATGAACATATACACATAGGTATCTTTTTAAAAAAAGAGCATCTATATTATTTGGAAGTTTGCTTTTTTTACTTACCAATAAAATGGATATTTTTCAATTACATGAATGTGCTGATACATGCATTGTAAAATTCTGTAAAAAAATCACAGTGGTCACATTTGGGGAGAGAGGCTTTTACTTTTATTCTCTACTTTACTGTACTGTTGGAGTTTGCTGTTTCTGTAATAAGTGTTACTTTCTTCTTAATGTCCAAAGGGATAATCTTGGTGATGCAATTAGAGACCTTTTTTGTATGTTTGTTTTCTTTGTTATATTTCTTTTTACAAAGAAATTCCAGTAAAATTTTCATTATCCTTTGTCACACAGAAAATTTTCATCTTAAGGTAGTTAAGTTTGTTCTTCCTTATGATTTGTGATTTTTCTGTTTCACAAAGTTTTTCCCTGCACTGATGTAATAGGTTCCTGTATTTTTTGCTAAATTTTCTAAATTTCTAAATACTTTTCTACAGCTTTGCTTTTCACATTGTCTAATCTATCGAGTTTATTTTTATATATAATGTATGATATATATTTTTTATACTGATAGCCAGTTTCCCTGGAACTTATTTGTAATGTTATCTCTGCTGTATTTTAAATTCCTTTATAAATGTGGGTCTGTTTCTAGGCTCTGTTCTGTTTGTCTATTCCTATACCAATATCATACTTGGTAATTATCATGGCTTAACATCGAGTTTTGATAAGTGGTAGAATTTGTGCCCTTCCTTCCTTTACCTCCTCTTTCTCCTTCAAAATTGCCTGGCTATTCTTGCCTCTTTATGCTCTGCTTAGAGTTTTAGAATCAGCTTGTCAGTTTCCATGAAAGCATTTAATTAAGGATGGGATCTGATCTAATATTCATTTTTGAAATATGACTCTTACCCTTTCAAAGCCTGTTACAGTAGTCCAGGTAAGGCTTAATGAATAGCTTGGATTAAAATGATGACAGTGGGGATAAAAGAAGTGGACAGAGTCAAGGTGTATTTCGTGGGCAGATAGGATAGGACTTAACCATTGTGGATGATGAGGAAAAGGAAGATTCAAAGATAACAGTCTTGGATTAAGTTATTGCTGGGTGGATGGTAGTGCTATTTATTGAGAAGGAGGCAAGAGCAGACTATGAGAAAGAGGTTTAGGGAAAGGGAATTGAGCACTGTTTTGAGCATGTTAAATTTAAAATACCTATTAGACATTCAAGTGTAAGATTTTTAGTAGGTAGTTGAATATATATATATATGAGTCTGAATCTCGGAGGAGAGGTCAGGGTTAGACATGTACATTTTGAAAACATTAGCAAAGAAGTAATATTTAGAGCCATCTGGATGAACTCACATAACTAGAGAATGTGGATAGAGAATAGAAGAAGGCTCACCCTCAGCTGTGTGGTATTTCAATGTTTAGAGGTTTGAATCGTGGAGGAGGAACATGGTGTCTGGACATTAAGGAAGGGTAGTACATGAAGGAAGTAATGATCATCTGTGCCAAAGGCTGTTGAGAGGCTGAGTTAGCAGAGATGGGGTAACATGGAACTCTTTGGTCACTTGAACTAGGAGAGGAAGTTAAGGAGAGTTGGGAGGAGGGAAGCCAGATTGGTTTGGGATGAAAAAGGAATGGTAATGAGAGAGAAGAGATAGTGAAGGTAAGAACATTTGCTGAGAAATATGTCTATAAAAGAGAATATAGTAGAAAAAGCAGGAGTTGCAGTACTTATATCAGACAAAATAGACTTCAAAACAAAGAAAGTAACAAGAGACAAAGAAGGACATAACATAATGATAAAGGGGTCAGTCCAACAAGAGGACGTAACCATTATAAATATATATGCACCCAACACAGGATCACCTACATATGTGAAACAAATACTAACAGAATTAAAAGGGGAAATAGAATGCAATGCATTCATTTTAGGAGACTTCAGCACACCATTCACTCCAAAGGACAGATCAACCAGGCAGAAAATAAGTAAGGAGACAGAGGCACTGAACAACACATTAGAACAGATGGACCTAATGGACATCAACAGAGCACTCCATCAAAAATCAACAGGATACACATTCTTCTCAAGTGCACATGGAACATTTTCAAGAATAGATCATATACTAGGCCCCAAAAGAGCCTCAGTAAATTCAAAAAGATTGAAATTCTACCAACCAGCTTCTAAGACAACAAAGGTATGAAACTAGAAGTAAATTATGCAAAGAAAATAAAAAATCCCACAAACACATGGAGGCTTCACAACATGCTCCTAAATAACCAATGGATCAATGACCAAATAAAAACAGAGATCAAGCAATATATGGAGACAAATGACAACAATAATTCAACACCACAGAATCTGTGGGACACAGTGAAGGCCATGCTAAGAGTAAAGTATATTGCAATACAGGCCTACCTCAGAAAAGAAGAACAATCCCATATGCACAGTCTAAACTCACAATTAATTAAACTAGAAAAAGAACAACAAATGAGGCCCAAAGTCAGTAGAAGGAGGGACATAATAAATATTAGAGCAGAAATAAATAAAATCAAGAAGAATTAAACAATAGAAAGAATCAATGAAAGCAGGAACTGCTTCTTCAAGAAAATAAACAAAATAGATAAACCCTTAGCCAGACTTATCAGTAAAAAAAGAGAGACTACACTCATAAACAGAATCAGAAATGAGAAAGGAAAAATCACTACCAACACCATAGAAATACAAAGAATTATGAGAGAATACTATGAAAAATTATATGCTAACAAACTGGATATCCTAGAAGAAATGGACAACTTTCTAGAAAAATATAACTTTCCAAGGCAGACCCAAGAAGAAACAAAACCTGAATAGACCAATTAACAGCAAGGAATTTGAATTGGTAATCAAAAAACTGTCTAAGAACAAAATGCCTGCACCAGATGGTTTCACTGCTGAATTTTATCAAACATTTAGTGAAGACCTCCTTAAAGTTATCCAAAAAATAGAAGAGGAGGGAATACTCCCAAACTCATTCTATGAGGCCAGCATCACTCTAATACCAAAACCAGGCAAAGACAGCACAAAAAAAGAAAATTACAGACCAATATCCTTGATGAAAATAGATGCAAAAATACTCAACAAAATATTAGCAAACCAAATTCAAAAATACATCAAAAAGATGATCCATTATGATAAAGTAGGATTTATCCCAGGGAT